TTTCCTCTAAAACGCGGCTATAGTGGCCGCACATTCTCAATAATTAGTGATTAGTTAAATTAGCGCTCTGTAAAATTAGTGTTCCTATGCATATGACTTAATGTAAAGAAGTTGTTAAACCTTAGTAATACTTATCAAACAATAAGATTAAGTTAACGTCTCTTTGTCATCTATCACCAGCAACAGGGAGGATTTCTTGGCGCATTTTATTACTTATGAAAAAAGGGCGCTATTGTGTTCGTCATGTCCGTCCGTCCGTGACGTGAAGTCACGGACGGACGAGAAAATGCTCTCTCTGTCACTCACTGCAGTGAGTACTGATCCAATTTTTTATACCCTTCATGTTTTACACACGCAATGGAAAGATTTTTTGCGAGCGCTTAATTGTAGTATTCCTCAAGCCCCAAATTGTAAGCTGCCGTGCCATTTCTCGCACAATAAATTTGATATCATGCAGCGCATTAAAATTCTGCAATACACTGCTGCTGATTTTGTTCAATACTGTAATATTTTATGCACAGTGTTTCCGAAATTCATCCCAAGTTGGTCTTGTATGTAATTTAATTGCGACGACCTCCCAAGAACTTTGGATGAGAAGGAATTTTAAATAGAAATGGAGTTCTAAACTTAGATGGAGCATGAAATTTAATGTTAAATAGAATCACTCAAACTAAAAATGCTACATATAAAGCATTTATTTTATTCGTCATTTCCAAGCCTCCCTAGCCGCTATATAACACCTCCCACATGTTGGATAATTCTAAGCTCGTGACAAAGAATGTTGACATATGTGCGCAAGAAATTCTGCTATTATCTACTTGTGTCCAACGTATAAAATAGCCTCAAATGGAGGCAAATAATATTGTACGCACGTACTATTTCCCTCGTTAAGCCTGGTTCTTTAATTAGCGTAACTGCAATCAGTCGGCCCTCAATATCGGACTGCCGCTGCACGGTATCCTGTTTACCGTCCGTGCGTGAACGTGACATTGAAAACCTATAGTGTGAAGTGGACCTCCGATCTACTTGGCATTGAAATACTTCACAAAATTCAAGGCTAAATTAATAATAAAACTTAGCTGTACTTTGATCGTACTCTCGCTAAAGACATTTATTTGGATCTCGTCAGCGGCGTGCAGAATATATTGGATCAGTTGAATTATTCACTGTTACGAAAATGTAATTTCTTCCAAAATTGTAATTGACAAATTTTTTTTAAATATACAGCGGTTGTAAGCTGACCCGTATTGGCAAGTATTCATTAGTTCCGAACCGAACTTATTGTGATGAATGTTTCATCATCATTTACTGCAAAAAAAATTAAACATGAACGCTCGTCATAAAAAGGATTTATAATTGAACAACTGCTGTTATAATGAGCCAATTGAACACCATCCATGAATTGTCTCGATTTCAATAAATAATATTGAACTCATTTTAGAAGCGAATGCTCGCGTTAGGTATGTATTATTATGTGAATGTATATTTGGGCTTTTACTAGTTGTTTTGTCTACAATCCATGCCATTGATTTCAATATAAATTGAGTCACATGTTGTTAAAAACGATTTCAATTTGGCATGACACACACTAGCCAAGAGGAAACTACCTTGCCTACATCCCATACCACGCATGGATTCCAATACAGATTGAGACTCATCGAAATTTAAACTTATATAATATGGCATGAAACACACTAGCCACGAGGAAATGGACTTGTCTAGACCACTAGCTTACTTAGAGATTAAGTTTTGTTTGTGTTATTTCAAATTATTATAATTTGCATTTTAATATCGAAAAAGAATAATTTGTTATAGTTATAGTAGAAGTAAGTTGTAATTTGGATTGGAGTAGCGACGAGGAAACTGCCGTGTCTACAATCCAGGCCAGTGGTTTGAGTAAAGATTGTAGTTAAGGTACGTAGGACCAGATCAGCTCCGTGCGTCACTCACGGAACCGAACTGCAGCGGCAGGGCAGGAAACGGAGCATTAGGCCAGAGATAAACCTGCATCGGCTATGCTATTACCAACTCACGCTCTTAACAGATAGTGTAACGAGCTGGTGAACAGCACGAGGTAACGGACGAAATGCACGCACGGTTACTTCGATTTTACAACGCACTTTTTGGTGCGTGGGTGCTTGATGATTTTTTTATAAAAACGCAGTTCAATGCGATCGAATGAGTTGTTCTTTGGACAACCACTGTATCCCAAGTACGAATTTGGTCGCTTTAGTTGATTATAGGTAATTTTTATTAGGTCGCTCGTGAAATTTCTAATCCTGGAATTTGGAGTGATGTCACCCATCACTCGGTTAAAAACGTTAAAAATTCGATTAAAAACGTTAAAATTGTCTTTAAAAAAATAATGAAGGTCTGCAAATCATGTAACAGCATTATTTATAAAGCGCGATTTGTGAAGGTTTTCTTTTTAGCGCATTTCTCATATATGAAAAAATGCCCTATTGTGCTCGTCATCTCCGTCTGTCTGTCTGTCCGTCTGTTTGTCCGTCTGTCCGTGACTTCACGTTTTCGTCGACAAGAAAATGCGCTCTCTGTCACTCATTGCAATGAGTACTGAGTTATATTTTTTAGTTTTTTTAGAAATTCAAATGTTAAATAAATCAATATAAGTTTGTACCAATATTACAAGCCTACGTTCTATTCCCACTTTAAATTCGTACGTTACTCCTGCCCATGTTACATGCTAACTATACCTTTCACTCTATGCAATGATGATCTGGCTCATAATTTTTGGCAGGTTGACTCGGCACATTTAACCCAGTGTAACTAGTTAACATGGTGAAATAAATCATAACCAGCTTCTATCGTATCCAATTAACAAGCAGGTTACCCTGGTTAACTCGACGCTACTTGGGAACGAAAAATCTTATAACAGATGCCACGAGACGCTTGAATCATCACATTTCATCATTTTAAATCGCGCTCTTCGAATTCTCTGTGTCAATATTTGCTCTCAGGACGACAAATGAAGTGTTATGGTATCCCCGATACCAAGCTATTCAAACCTACGTGTATGCACACTGTCAAACTAAGTAAAACTGGTTCATGGGTTACGTTTTTTTTGCTATTTACTACGTTTTCCGTTTTATTAGGTTTATTATAATCATTGCTGCTATTACGGTTCTTCAGGTGCTTGAAGTTTTGTCTGATGACTTCCATTGTATGTAGGGATGTAATATTCTTGTAAATATTAGATTATTAATTTCTCGTTTAGGTTTATAGTCACCACTGACGTGACCATTACGTATATAGGAATCTGTTATACCTTCTCATTCATACATGCGATTCTACCACGAAGTTATACGTGGGTTAATTAGTCATGTTTATTTCTTGGTGGCTGTCACATCCATGATGTTTAAGTGATGTTTTTATTGACGACTTAACGAATATTCTTATTCATATTATTCCTTTGTTTATCTTATATCATCCGTGCTATATTTCTACGTTTACTAGTTTATTTATTTCGTTGGTTCTAAATTTGTGTTTTCGTTTTGTATGCGCAGAAAGGCTCCGAAATAAGGACTTGAACAGATCATTATTGGCGGTCGATAGTTGGCCTAAATAAAGCGCTCATAATAATAGGTTATTTCAATTATTATTTTTGTTAATTTATTCAATTTTCTTCATCCGTCTTATAATGGCGATAATTTTCGCCACACTAGCATAAGTAAATATCTGGGCCGCTAAAAGCTTTATTTTCATGTTATTTATTCATGTAGTATGCCCCGACGTATCGTAAATATATTGGGGCTTTTTGAGCGAGCATCCACATGTCTACCGCGTCGAATGTTAAACGAATCTGAAATTTTGTATATAACTGGGATCATGAGGCCTTGCCAAATAGGGTTCCAATAAATTTATTCTATTAAGTAAACTAATTAATTTATAAACTTGAATCTCATTAAAAGATACAAATAAATTTTTTTCTTATTGCAAGATAGGATTACAGCTCGGTTATTAGTTCCAATGAGTTACTTTGTTAAATAAGACTTTGAACAGGTAATTCTGAAAGAAAAATTACTTCATTTCAAGAATTAAAATGATAATAAAAAATTATTCTGAGAAGTTATTCTTAACTTTCATGGATTTTCTTTCCCGAGTTAAGACGGATTAACCTGCAGAAAGTTTATTTGATTAGAAAACAATAAAATATTTACTGATAATACATGGAACCTATTAGAAATTTGAGCAGTACCATCAATTAGCTTATGCCCAAACACGAGTTAAATTGAATATCTAATGCTGAAAACTATGCTACTGTTCATAAACATGATTCCTCCGTCGAGCAAAGTTTATGATTTAACATCTGGTGTATAACTTTTCTAAATTACTTAGTGCTAATTATAAATGAAATTCTCAAGCCATTCTCAGGCACTGACGAAACTCATAGTAATTTTGAAGCTATTCTTAAAATATAACAGTGGGATATTCCCATCCCTGGGTCAGGGTTCCCTCACTCTCCACTCAATCACGTATGCTAACTCATGATTAATGAAGTAACAAGTGATATAAACACAGGGCTTATCAGGGTTCGGGACAGTACCTGCTGATTACAAGTCAATTAATTTCTACTTGTCGTTGACAATTCCTAGAATAATTTGACGAGTTTGACGCAGCCAGGCGTTGGACCGTATTTACTCGCATGAGTACTCGTATACTCATATTTTTCACACGTTTGTCCAGTACAGTACGCACGTACTGCAAGGTGAGTAACCACTCACTTCCTGGTACCAGCATGCATGGCGTGACTGGTATGGTATGCAGGCACAGCTAAGGTCTTTCTGTGCGAGTACAATTAATGAGAAATTAACTTGAAAACCAAGCAACATCCTTATCAAGCGCATGGCCGACACCCCGCCTTAGTTTCCGTCACACTTCGCCTTGCTTTGCAATCTGTTGTAGTTTGACATGACCTTGCGCCGGCCGCACGGCCACCGTATATAGGAGTCGCTCACTCCTCCAGCGTCATTCAACTCAAGTTTGTCGACGGTTAGCCAACTTTGCTCCTTTCGTCAACATGAAGTTCCTTGTAAGTTACAAAACTGGCTCTACTTCTCAGTAATATCTCGCTTATGCTATTTTTTGAGTGACCCGTATCTTACTTATTATCAGTTCTGATTTATTATCTTCATTTTGGTTTTAATTTCATGCGCACATTTTCGAGAAAAAACCTTAATCACCAATTCGCCAGGGATTCAAGCATTAATCGCCAATTCGCTGTTTGGATGCACTATACGTATTAGCTCCGGTTAAGTTAGTGCATGCTAAATTCAATTAAAGCACAGCCTCAACTCTAAAACACTCGTCTCAATGACCGGTTTATTTTCCTTATTAGCGATTAGATATTTGAACGAGCTGTTGGTTTTTTCTAAGCTATTTGGTTTAAAAAAAAGAGTCTCCGTGCCTGAAATATTACGAATAATGGTTGTTTATTTCGACTATACCGTCGTATTTACTATAGTGTTTTCTTTTGTAATCATTCACGAACTAATTCTTCGCCAATGCATTCCGAGTAAGAATGTAATATGAACATATTTTGTTACGTCTTGCTTTTGCTTATGTGTACTCACATACACGAGCCGAGAATAATCTTATATTACAACAAAGATAATACCAGCTGGTACTACCTTATTGAAACTGTCATATTAGGTGCTACGCATGTAAATATTCTGATGTCTATTTTATTAACCGATAAATTGTTTAGCTTACAGATGTTAAGAAATGTGAAATGTTTTCATAAATTTCAGTGATTTAGATCTTGATCACTTTATATAAATCAGTGACGTCCTAATTTTGTGCGGTTGAGGCTGGCGCAGGCCAACTGTTGTGTAATATATTCAACTCGCTGCATAAGTGTCGTGAACTCTTTCTCAGCAGATTCATTAGCAGTCGTCATAGCTACTCGTGACTTACGACCTTCACTAGAATTACCATCAGCATACACAGAACTCTAAGACTTATTCTTAAATTAATCATCAAGAAACAATTTACACAAAGTTTTGACCGTGCATGGTTTATGGTTTTTTTAAGGAAATGAAAGTCTATGTTATTCACATAGCAAAATTTGGCTCCGGTTACATTTTGAAGTTGGCCTTGCCTTTCTTTATTTTGTATTTTATTCATCAATGAGATCAATAATCCTCTGTGTACAGGCGATATTCCTCGCTGCAGTGGCGGTAGTCCGAGCTGACGCTGACGCCAAGAAGGAAGGAGGTCCTCAATTCGGTGCCACCTACGCACACGCTCCAGGCTTCGCCAAGGCTTCGATTGTCGCTCCTGGTCTCCACAAGACCGTCCTGAAGAGCTACATCCCCGGGCTTGGCTCCAAACAAATCGTGCAGCAGCAGGGCTATGGAGGAGCTCTCGCATACGGTGGTCTCGGCTACGACGCACCCGTATACCAGGCCGGGTACGCCAAGACGGCTGTGACTCCTCTCGGCTACGGTGGATACGGTTATGAAGGCGTCCATGCTGGTGGCCTTGGCGGTGGTCTCGGACTTGGCGGAGGAATCGGCCTTGGTGGAGGATATGGCCTTGGTGGGGGAATTGGCCTCGGACATGAACTTGGAGGATACGGTGTTGGTATCGGAGGTCTAGGTTATGGTGGCCCTCTTGGTGGTCTTGGAGGAGTTGGCGGTCTAGGTGGAATCGGCGGTCTTGGAGGAATTGGCGGTCTAGGTGGAATCGGTGGTCTTGGTGGCTTTGGAGGAATTGGAGGTCTTGGGGGAATTGGTGGACTTGGTGGAGTTGGCGCCTATGATGGAGTAGGTTTAGGATACGATGGCATCGGAGGAGCTTATGACGGAATTGGTTTGGGCCTCAACGGAATCGGACATGGCGCTAGCTACGTGAAGAAGGGTTACGGCCACGTTGTAGATCACGGATACGGAGGAGGCGTCAAGAAGATCACCACTTACGAGAAGGCTGGTCATAAATACGACCGTAAATAAACATGTATGAATAGCCAAACTCAATGATCTCCTCGACTTATAAGGCATCGTAGCTACTCAGTTGCTTCATTTTAAATAGCGAAGGACTTGAGTAGAACATTTTTATATTATTGTTCCAGGGAATAATAAAACCATGCTACTGAAGAAGACTTTTATTTTTTGCATATGATGCATCATCTATTTTCTATTATGCGAATTGGATAATGATATTATGCAATGATAAAGAAAAAATTTATACAGACTTCAATTGTAACTTTTATTAAAGGGCGATCATACTTCAGCTCATAACCACTTAATTTAAAAGTTTGCGCATTTATTGCTTGACTCCCTGATCATGATATTACAACCTTAACCAAACCAGAAAGTTTATTCATCTGCATATTTGTACTCGATCTCTTGTATAATTATTTTAAGTACGTTTGAGAAATGAGAACCTCATTATATTTATTAAAGCTGTGAACATCTCGTTCAGAAATTTGCTATTTCTTATAAAAATGTAATCTAACGATAATCGTGTATTTTCAAAACTCTGCTCAACGATCAATCATCGATTCTGCTAATATATTTCAACGGAAGTTAAAGGACTCGGTCATCCTTCTTGTAGTCGACTTCCTTACTCTTGCCGAGCCCATTTGTGTTGTGGATGCCGGTAGCTTTAAGCAGCGATGATGAGTGTGAAGGATTATCCGACAAACCTGGTCTTGAATATAGGAGATCGTCGGCGTGGAGTTTTGCATTGAGCTTGAAACGGTCCAAAGCGCTCAAGTTGGAGTTGAGTAAGGCCGGGTGCAGCCTGCCATAAGCGGAGTATAACGGGTTGGAGTAAGGGATTGTTGACCCGTAAGGACCATGCAAGTTGAACAAATTGTTGAATGCGTAAGTATCAAAAGGATACCCATTCAAGAACAGCCAGCTCAAATCATCATCAGGAGCAAGAGAGTAAGACAGGAGATGCGGTGATAGACCGCCATAGCCTGAAGTTAAGTAGTTCCTGAGATAAGGTTTGCCATGAAGTAAATCGCCCCATCTGGGTAACACGGAATGGTGTGGCAGGCGGTTGAGGTATGGCAAATTCAAAAGATAAGGATAAGCGCCGTATAGATCTGGGTAGGCTACGGATGGATCGACGTTGTAGGCAGAAACCTGAGCTGAAAAGTGGTTCGGCAGATGCGTGGTCGACTTTTCGACAACGCTGAGGAGGCCAGGCTTGGCTTCGGCTTTAGGGTTGGCCTCAGGCCGAGCTTGAGTGAGCGACAAGCTCACCATGAGCAACTGGGTAGAAAAAAATGTGATTGGGAAAAATCGGTTGTGAGCATTTATTAGTCCTATACATTTTTTTGCAGAATGAAAACATGCGTATAAAATGTTTTTATTTGGATTCTGTCGACGAAATTCATCCGTTATTTCATCCCTTCAGGTGCAGATTAAGCGTGAGATCACGACAGTAACGGAAGATATTTGGCGATTAACAGGTTTGTCGATAGAACAGTTGGTCACACAACTGTGCCTTCGTAAATTAGATTCTCATATTTATTTTACCTTAAAACTTAATCTTATTTATTTTATTATGATCCACTTAAGAAAAACTGATACTGATGGGCATTAAATAAATAAATACATTTTTTTAACCTGCGCTTATATCATTTGAAGCTTTGATTGCCAGGCATTAATTACGGACTTAGGACAAAATCATAATCCATTTGAGAATGATTACGATGAACACTTTATGCAAATAATTTTTTGATAACAATCTTCCGTGAGGTTTAGCAGAATAATCTAAACTCATGAATCGCTTACATCTATAATAAAAGACCTCGGCCTCATATACTTACCGTTCCAAGGAACAACAGTTGCATCTTGAGCTGCTATGATATGTCCTAAATTCTCTCCAAAAGTCCCGCCTCTTATCAGATCAGATTTAAACCAGCTAGCGGAGCAAAAAGCAAGTAATTTTAAAACCTAGAGTAACCCCTTCCTTCACAATCTCCTGAAGAAGTTTCTTCGTGGACGGCTGAGGCTCATTTGGTGACAAGCGACAATTGCGTCGCTTAAATACATACGCCATCGAAAAATGCTGAGCAAAAAAAGTGTTGGCGAGAAGATGCAACCTTCTTGACATCCTGCGATCAGCAAAGAGGAGCTCAGGAATAGAAAAAATATGGACAAGAAAATCTTCGATGTCAACAACAGAGACAACCCTGAAATCTGCAGCGAGCAAACTCATCCGTCGCTATCAAAAGATCTAAATTAAAGTTCTTGTAACGTGTCTCCACAGACCATTTCTAAAGGTCTTCCTGCATAGTAGCGGGCATTTAATTTAAAATGCATTTTTAGGTCATTATGGAAAACGCAAGTCATCACAATCCGTTCAAGAAACTTTTCAAGCGTGTGTCGCGTTCCGTTGCAGAGGACGATGTAACAATCAAAGGAAATTTATTGGGATATTTCCTATTGTAGTTACCGTAGACCGGGAACTTGACATTGAGGCGGAGAGGTTAAAAAAATGTTAGATAATTACAAAACTTTGTGGTTATTCGCTGACTAAAGAAAGCCATGATTGGCTTTTGTCGATAATTTAATATAAATGATTGGTTAAATCAACCCATGATTAGCTTTAAAAGATTGATTTTCATTGAGGCTGAGCAGTCGCTAAGAGATGATAAATTAATAATTTTCATTTTTTTCTTGATAACTAAATGGGAAATGCGAGGCGTTTGTGAAAAGTAGCATATATAACATAAATAAATTGCGCATATTTATGTCTGAGTTAGCAGGCTTCTTAAAGCTTTTCAAATTTATAACGAAAGTTGTGATCCCCTGTTTTCCTGTAACTGGACTTGAGAGCTGAGAACTAGACACCGCGGTCTCGAGATCATGTACCACATACAGACGGGAAATTTGTGACCTCTTTATATATAAAGAATATATTTATAAATCAAGATACAACATATCTAGACTCTTATGTCACCAAGGGACGAAAACACTCGAACAATTAAGAAGACCGGTCATCTTAGCTGGTATAGGTCGCGATATCTTGAACTATTTCAGTATATCACATTATTATTTGATGCTCGAAAACTTTTTTTTTGTTCATTCAGCTGCAGAGATCAAGTGATAATTTTTCTTCTGTAATGAAAATTTATGAAACCACACAAGTCTTCAATTCTGATTTTTGTCTTCGATTAAAAGTTATCAGACAGGCGGTTTAACAAGTTTCGGTCGCCCACTATTTTCGGAGCAGGTACATCAGCAGATCTCTCTGTTTATTACATACGCAGCTCTTTTGAAAGAATTATTCCCTCTTATTTGGTCACTATATTATGTAGTACTTACTGCCATTTATATAACTTATGTCTATGAATCGGTACGGATGTAAACCGGTTTCATGCACAACCCTGCAAATATCAGCTCATATGATGTAAAATTAACGATACTTACTCAGCGTGAACCCAAAATTTTTTATTAAATAAGAAATGTATCTATTTTTCAACCTCATTATTCCACCGTTAACGTTGGCTTCGTATTTTTACTGAATCGCAATTATAAATTAGTCTTTAAAAAAGTATTCACTTATTTTCAAGGCCCAAGGTGATGATGACCTTGTCCGAATAAGAGAATTTAAATAAAACATTTAATTAAGTTGGAAATTCTAAATCTCGAGGAGTTCCTCGCAAAAGCATTTTGACGAGAGAGGAAGCTCGTTCCATCACAAAAGTCTCTGAATTGAAGAATTGTTCAGAAGTTTCCTGTGTTTTTGGTCTCTCTAAAGTCTAAACCTTCCTTCAGCTGCCGATGCAGGACGTCTCTGCGTAGGAACAAAACAGGCACGAGCTGACAAATCGGCCAACTTGGCAGGTACGGCAGGCTGCAAATAAATTATCATTAAATGTAAATTCATCCAAGAAATGAAATAAATTTTCGGAAAAAAATGCGACAGATGAGATTAGCACACACATAAATACAGTTTTTAAACGTTCTTTTATATGAAGGTTGTGGAAAATTGAATTGTATAGACTAGCTCCGAGACGTGAAATGATCTTAAATAATTTCATTGGTTGTTGATTCAACAGGAATAAGTTTGATAATGCGCTTGTTTATGTAGATCGCACTTCGAAGAAGGTATATCGTCGCAAGGCCAACGTTCAGATACGATTAAGTTCAGAAAACAAAGGAAAAAAAAACTTTAGTCTTTACCACATAAAATTATAGAATGATACTCAGTTCTGAATGAAGCTCGAATAATTTATTAGATCCCTGCCTTTTCATAACCCGATTTTTCAACACATTTTATGGACCGTCACGGCTCCGTAAAATCTATAAAGCAATTTATGAAGGCCTATTGTGTGGTTACAGGGTGGCCCAGTGGATTACAGTTCATAGTATCAGGATTGGAGCAGAGAGGTGCGGGTTCGATCCCAGCTCTGTGCGCCAGTTTCTGGTCAGAATCGGCGAGGAGGCCGGGCGGTTAAGCACAGCAGAATTGTAGCAGTGAGTTGCGAGTTCAAGACCGCAACAAGCTGTGAATGTTCTGCAATGTTAAGAATCGGCGACGGGCCTGCGGCCGAATAAACGCTGAATACGCTATTATTATTATTATTATTATTATTATTTATATTATTATTACTATTATTATTATTATTACTCAAACGAAGAAAGCAAGACTATTAATTTATTATTCATAATAAGCGGCATGAAAAGTGAGAATTTGAACGATAATTCGATTTTTAAAGTAATACAGGAACTATGATGGACCTAGTAAGAGCATTAAAATCTATAGTGCATAGTTCGTCCAACACTATATTATACTCTCTTTATCTCTTCCGGACGTTGTTCTAATGTGACAAGTGGCAGGATGGCCCAATGGTAACAGTTAAAGAGTACCAAAATTGGAGCAGTGAAGTTGCGGGTTCGACTCCAGCTTCCTGAGACGGTTACGGTCGAAATTGGCAAGGTGGGCGGGTGGTTAGGCACAGTGGATATTGGAGCAATGAGTTGCGTGTTCGAGACATTCAAGAGGCTGCAAAAATTCTGCCATGTTCGGAATCGGCGACAGGTCAACCGGTCTAATTAATTTTAACGCAGTCACCACTATTACAATTATTATTATTGTTATTATTTTGTTATTACTATTAGCATTGTTGATTTTTAGTATATTACTTTATAATTATCATTGTTATTATATTATTGTCTTCGTTCCTGGGTTGTAGAGCAATAAGTAGAGGAAACATTGAAAGAATTTCAGTGTTTTGCTTAACGAAAAACAAGCCGTGTTTTTTTGGAAGATTTTTTTGAATGAAATGAAAGGCTTTTTCTATTTATTAGACAATAGGTACGAATATTTACTTAACTCAATACGGATTAACAAGTTACGGCTTTTTCGTCATAATATTTAAGAAGTTAAGTTTCTGGCAAAAAACTTTTTATAAATCGTTTTCTATTCCTCCTTCAATATGTAAAAAACTATATCTTAGATGGGATACCATTTAAAATGGTATCTCTAGCTTACAGTTCTTTTTTAGCTCATTCATAGCATGGTTGAATTAATTAACTCAACCATGATTCATAGCACGTACACTAAATTCATTGTGTACATTTAGCTCATTCATTACACGTACACTAAAAAGCAGGTTTGATGATGCACAACGTAGTGTAATATCTAATAGCTATAACATGTTAAATAATGATGATTGCTAAAAATACATTAGCTGTTGAACATTACAAAGTTTCTCATATATTATAAACCATTTCTTTGGAAGGTGATAATATCACTCAAGTAATGAAATGAATTGCAGTTCTACTTTTACCAGTATCGATATTATTCATCACAGTTTGTTGCACTTGAATTTTTATTGTTGAATTTTCATTTTGTTTCTGTACAGGTAAAAAAGGGCACACCATCCACCTCGACGACACGTTCAAGACGCATCAGTCCATTCAAGCTGTTCAGGTTCAACCATGAGATGAGCGTTCTATCAATTCAGCGCTTGAAAACCGAGATGAACAGCGTAATTGTTGATATCAGTTTTTTTGGTTAGAAGTTCATTAGTCAATTCACATCGTATCAGTATGGACTGTATTAACAGGTAAATATTTGCAATCTTCTGTTATAATGCGTTGAGTATTTTTGAGAGCATAAATCGAGTTTTTGATTGTTGCTGCGTTACTTGATACAACAAACAACGCAAAAAAAGGAGTGCATGAAAAACTGAGAGACAATAATTTTATTTATTTAATTTCAGATGTTTTTTTAATTTGACAAATTTAATAATACGACATACTGGGAGACTGAAATTTTTTTTACAAAGAGTGCAGAATCGCTCATTGCGACTTAGTCTTTTATACCTTAGCGTGGAATGTAATAATAATGTTTATCAATTCTTCTGAAATAGTTATCTCAGTTTGAATCAACCTGATACATTATTGTGTTTCACACGTCATAACAATTCTATTCTGTTAGCCTGTTTCTAAAGAACTAAAAAATTAAAGAAGTACATAGTGCAGTTACTTATCTGTTTCAGAGTAGCTATTTGAGTGCCGCTATCACTAATTGTTGTTTCAACACAGCAAAACACTACGCAGCAATCCACAACAATGAAATAAAGACACAGTGCATTAAATTGCATCTTCTGAAATATCAATATTTTATTTTGCCTCGATTTCCTCGCATCTTATTTCGGCCAATCGATGTTAACAGATTATAAATGTCAGCAGCAACTCAAAACATTGCACGCGGCCGTCACTATAGCAACGAATTGGAAGCGTTATGACTTCCTTTTAGTTGTATCAAATATTGTAATTAATCGGTAACTGCAGCAAATGAACTTGAATTTCATTCAAACTTGAGAATTTTCCTATTTTAAACCTGGCCAGAGATTGAAGTCATTCATCACTGGCCAGTCAGTCATTCTTGAATCAAACGATTAACCGATAATAGTGCAATAATAATATTGCATGATCTTGGATATCCACTGAACTTCAAACAAATTATCCTGATCTCATAATGTGCGAATTTTAGATGAGATGCTCAATTGCTTATGAATTATGTAATTAATCGATACCTGCCGCCAATGAAATTAATAAATTAAGGTGAGTGGGTGCAGTCGTTTTGAATTCGGTAAAAATTGGAAACTGCCGTACATGAACTTTGATTTCGACAAAACTCCACAATTTTAGCTGATCTTCCTCCTGCGCAGTAATTGTAATAATTTCAGGCCGTTCGTTTCTGAGTCATTAAATCTCCATTATATATTCAACTCAGCAGTGTAGGCTAAATATTTGCCATAGTGACCTCAGACAAATTACGATTAATTCTAACAGAAGAGGAATTGGAAATTCATTCATATTTTAGCAACGGTTGACTGATTCAACATTGCATTTACGTGGGAAGTCTAATTTCTGACTTCAATCCCAATTATTTCTATAGTGCGTCTGAGACGCTATGTAAGCTGTGATCCAAGGTTCATTGATGGTTTTCTTTCTTTGGAAGTAAGCAATTGAAAAAATTCGATGATCCGCCCCGAGCGCAGTCAAGTGAATCCAAGCAGAGTTGACGGGAATGTTGACAGGTAAGATGCAACGCGCGTCGATATTGCCCAAAGCGTGCCATACTTACGCAAAAACAGAAAAGCCGCCAAAAATATTTGCAGGCGTATATAAGTAACAAGCGAATTTGAATGACTGGGCGAATAAGTTTTTATGCCTCGGAATAAAGCACAAGCTAGGTTAGAAAATGCGTTTTTTCCATAAATGAGAAAATGCGCTAAAAAGTGTGTAAAGAAATTTTGGACGTCGTATACGCTGGTGCATGAGCATGCAACGATCTTTCGACTCCCAGTGAATTTGAATAATTTGCTGACAACGACCCAGAATTTTATTTTAAAAACAAGAGTATTTAGGGAGATGAGGTTTATTGCTATGCTTACGACCCGGAAGCCAAACAACGATCATGGCCGTAAAACACTAAATATGATATTAAAAACATTAATTAACCCTTCGTAGCATAGAAAGACATTTAAACAACTTATACAAGATTGCACGATGTCGACGTTGATCGTCCTTCCTCAACAGGAATGATCATTGATGACATCAACAGACAACCAACAGTTCAAGTTCTAGTATCAAAGGCACGCCAAAAACAGTCAAACTAAAAACATTTTTAGATTTTGTCACCTAGCTTTATGTTTGCAAATACTCATAATACTTGAAAGAGCTATTCGCATCTTAAGGCCTCTAAATAAAGTTACAGTCAGTAGACCAAGTATTGTCAACTGTGAACGCCGTAAAAAGAAACTGATCTTATGATTTCTGCCATGCCAGAACAAAGAGAATTAATCATATTCAAACAACTCCGATCGTATTTGTTATTGTTTATGAGCGCATCGTCGAGCTGTAGATTGAATTAGAGAATTCGAAGAGAATTTATAACAATACCATGATTTCATTTTTATAAATTCCTCGTTTATTCGATGACGGTTAAAATCTCCAACCCCTTGTAAAAAAAGAACTACAATGCTGCTAGGCGGTATTTCTTTTAGCGCATTTCATTCTCATTTACGGAAAAAATGGCTTATTGTACTCGTCATGTCCGTCCGTCCGTCTATTTGTCCGTCCGTGACTTCATGTTTTCGTCGACGAGAAAATGCGCTCTCTGTTACTCACTGCAGTGAGTACTGAGTTAAATTTTTTTAGTTTCAATTATAATTTTGCTCATTCGTGTTCTGGCGTTCGCAACAAAAAAATTTCCTAATTTATGCATTAAAAATGCTAGTTGAATTACGGTTAAGTTTTATCAGCTAACTGCGTTAAGTTTCTTTTAATTAGTCAGATTCAAGCTGGTAATTATCCAGCAGTTTATTCATTAGGATTGTCGGGATTGTGAAAATTTTTAAAATTTTTATTTTGTTCAAGCCACCACTTGCCGTCACGTTCTGGAAGATGGTCAATAATCACAGCGAATCCGAACATTAGCGAAGCTACGAATTTTGAATAATTCATCTAAATTCGAATATCGACGGTTTTTATATAATTTCCTCCCAATTTTAGGACACAATGTTTGCATTTTTCAGAAAAACGTCCTAAATAATTCAGTTAAATCGGACACACAATCATTGGGAGACTTTTAATCTGTTACCTTCTCTTTACAACCCGCTTCTCTTTTCTTTATAGAAATATTTCAAGTACACCAGAAATAATACATTTAATTTTCATCAGTAGCAAAAAATTTGCGTTCTTTTTCATCTAAAATTAAAGAGGAGCCGGACAAATTACAACAATAAACACTTTTAAAATTTTTATTTCTCTGTTAAAGGTCGTTCGTTCGAGTCGTAGTCGTTCCTTATATACCAAGTCACTCAGCGCTACTCCACAGGTCGTGTTTTCTATTAACATATCTCTCACTTATTCAAGAGTTTCTTGACTAATATTCCTAGACCAAATGACAACTACACCACTCTGTGTATAATATGGAACTTTGTATATTTTTTATATGCGCAACAAAATTCAAATGGATTAAATACGGAAATCAGAAATAAATTAAATTCGGATGAGTAGGTCATAAAAAAATCTACATGATTATTAGAAGTTTATGCTATGAGTTAACACGTTTAATATCAAAGCTCAATGCACGTCTGTACTGTAACGTTTCTGCGCTGCAAAAAATAATGATTTGCATTATTTTATCCATTTTAGCATAAGGTTCTGTTTTTCACTTCAGGGAAATTTTTATAGCGTTTGTTGTTGGGTGCTATTAATGTTGTTAAAAGGTTTCTCCTGCCATTATTGTTGATGCTGTTTTTGTAGAGCTGACATAATTGTTATTTATAAATCTTTGGTATGATGGTTATGGTGTTATGATCATGTTATTGCATTGGTAAACAAGATTGCAAGCTTCACATGCAATGGTGAATCTTAGTAGGCGAGTTTAAAGACAATTTGGGCGTATTTTTCCTTTTTTTGAGGTAATATTATCTTTATGATGTTCCTCTTTTTGGAATGTTTGTGTTGTGTCAATAATTTGAGCCAAATTTTTTATATCTCAACATTTTTTCGTGAAAATTTCATGAGGTAAGCGTCATCTTTATGACGCTGGAGGAATCTTCACTATGTTGTGCTATGTTCATTATGTTGTGTTATCTTCATAATATTGGTTAGTTTCCATTGTGTTGTGTTATCCTTGCTATCTTTTGTTATCTTCACTGTCATATGTCATCTTTAATAAATTGTGCTATATTGACTAAGTTCGTGTTATCTTCGCTATGTTCGTGTTATCTTCACTAAGCTCGTGTTATCTTGGCTAAGTTCGTGTTATCTTGGCTAAGTTGGTGTTATCTTTACTAAGTTCGTGTTATCTTGGCTAAGTTCGTGTTATCTTGGCTAAGTTCGTGTTATCTTGCATAAGTTGGTGTTATCTTCACTCAGTACTTGTTATCTTCACTAAGTTCGTGTTATCTTCGCTAAGTTCGTGTTGTCTTCACTAAGTTCGTGTTATCTTCACTATGTTCGTGTTATCTTCATTAAGTTCGTGTCATCTTCATTAAGTTTGTGTTATCTTCATTAAGTTCGTGTTATCTTCACTAAGTTCGTGTTATCTTCGCTAAGTTCGTGTTGTCTTCACTAAGTTCGTGTTATCTTCACTAAGTTCGTGTTATCTTCATTTAGTTCATGTTATCTTCCCTATTTCGTGTTATCTTCGCTAAGTTCGTGTTGTCTGCACTAAGTTCGTGTTATCTTCACTATGTTCGTGTTATATTCATTAAGTTCGTGTTATCTTCACTAAGTTCGTGTTATCTTCACTGTGTTCGTGTTATCTTCATTAAGTTCGTGTTATCTTCATTAAGTTTGTGTTGTCTCCAATAAAGTTCGTGTTATCTTTGCTAAGCTCGTGTTGTCTTCACTAAGTTCGTGTTATCTTCACTAATTTCGTGTTATCTCTATTATGCTTGTGCTATATTCACTAAATTAGTGTTGTGTTATCTATATTGTCTTCATTATGCTGTCTTCACAGTTGAGCACCATGAGAGTAACGTCTGCTAACGTAACTACTACAACGTAGTAACGTCTCAGCCATGCAGTGCTGGCAGTGATTAGTGACCGTGACCACCGTGACCGCCGTAGCCGCCGTAGCCGCCGTAGCCGCCATGATGGCCATGTGAATGACCGTAAGCTCGTCTTACATACACGTGAGCGTGAGCACCGTGACCGTATCCACCATGGCCGTATCCGTGACCGTAAGCGAAGCCTCCATGACCATGACCGTATCCACCGTGGCCGTAACCGTGACCGTAACCAAAGCCTCCATGACCGTGGCCGTACCCTCCTCCGTAACCGAAGCCTCCATGTCCGTAACCGTAGTAAGGGAAGTGATGATGGTGGCCGTGATAGCCGTAGGACGGGTAAGTTTGCTCGTAGCCGTAGGCGTAGTGGCCGTGGTCATGGCCGTATGAAGCGTCAGGCTTCGCGTCAGCGTCGGCCACGGCCGTAGCATCAGCGGCCGCGTAGCCAGCGGCTGCCAACAGCGTTAACTGTTTGCAGGCGAGTTAAAAATTAATAAAAATAATAAATTTAAAATTGTGGAAAAACGGGCCAATCATTACTATCATGTGAATTTTTTCTTTCGTATTCGTAATATTTTGTTTGACAGTTGTCCATAAAATGGTTTGGGTCTGAAATGTTGCAAATAGAATAGTTGGGACTGTAAAACATTTGAAGACGATAATGTAGAGAACAGTGATGTTACAGTTGAAGAATAATGTGCACGCCTAAACAATCAATTCTAATAATGACAAACAAAAGTATTATAATAACAAGACTAATTATGAACGGTATCTTGCTGTTCTTCCGAGAGAAAATCCTGTGGGTCGCGATCTTGTATTTCCTTCTCCACTTGATGAAATCTATTGTCTCTTTAATCTCATATTTTTGGCGCATGGCGTAAACTTTTAGCTGATCAACAGGCAGTTCCATCCCACTTCATTTTTATCAGTAACTTATGTTAGAATTTTTAACTTTAACTGAATTCTAGACTATAAATTGTGACTCCGTCACAATTTCAAGAAAGACTTAATTACTTTCATTTTATTTTTTAAGTGCTCTTCGGAACCTAAGCATATATATCATCTTTCACTTATTTCCCAGCTAACAGGAAATTAAGTCCATTATGGAAATTGTAATGTAAGTAATTCAGCAACTAAATGTGTATGTAATAAAATATGAATCATATATAACTGATGACTACAGGGGAAGAAGATGGCTGAATTTTACGTACCAGAATAAAACACCTCATGACGTGCACAGCTCAGAAGTGAGAGAACGTGCGGAGATGGAGGAGGACGCGGAGCGACTGATGACCCTAGGGAAGGACGGCTCCTTTTATACCTCAGTGTCACGGCCTTGCTACGCAGGGTGACTCGTGTGCGGTGACCTAGGGCTCTTCGTAAGCGCCCTCAGACATGGCAAGGCGCTGCTCTTGGTCACTTTAGCTTCATGTAGTCAATACGGCTATAGTCACTTTAATAACTTGTCTCCGGGGAGTTAATTTTACACAAAGTTGTCAATATGGCTATAGTTACTTTAATACCTTGTCTCCGGCGAGTTACTTTTGCATCGTATTGTCAATATGGCAATAGTCACTCATATAACTTGTCTCCGGTGAGTTACTTTTGCATCGTGTTGTCAATATGGCTTATTACCTTATAAACGTGTCGTCGGTGAGTTACTTAGTTTCATGCTGTTGATGCTGCTGGTTGCTGCATTACCACATCACCGCGTGTACAGAACAAGGCTCGATCCGAGTTGAGGCTGCTACGAGTTCAAAATAAACATCTAAAGCAACGCGTCACCAGCTAACGACTTTTCCTTGTTAGATGGTCGATCTTATATTGTTATTACTCGAATACTTATACGGTTGCCGGTGAAAAATTGTTTACAACTTGTTTATAGAGGTAAAAACGTGCACATCTTTGTATATTTGGCCTATTAAATCCATTTAAATATATTACCGTACATTGGATGTCTCACGACGCATCTAATTTGGATGACAGTCTTAAAATGTCATCAAATTTTAAGTGCGTAAGTACGTAAAACTCTCAATTCATTTTTCATTCTGAATATTTCACACCTGTAAATAATAAAATTTAAACTTTTTAATCGCATATAACCCAAATCCTTGAAAATTCTGCCAGTTTTAAGTGTCAAAACTATTCGGACTTTCGAAGCCTCCAACACTGGGGATTCAGGGGCGGCGACCTGAAGCGAGACGCAGGATCGCGTGCCGCGTCTCAAGTCCTACGCCGCGAGACGCTGGCGAGGCGGTGATGCAATCCCCGATACGCATAGGATTATCATTAGCAGTCCTCGCCAGTGTAAGAAATTTAGCTAAAAGCGCTGAAGTTGTCCTGCTCGTGTGATGGAAGCGTTCAGGTCTGAGGGTCATTTACTGGCCATAGGGACTTACAGTATATGCTGAGAATCAGCAGATCAGCTATGGACTATTATTCTGGTGATCAGTTATGGACTGATCTACCAGGTATCAGCTGATCAGCTAAGAACTGATTAGGATAGCCTATGAACCGATTAGGATCAGCTAAGGGCTGATTATGATCAGTTAAGAACCGATTATGATCAGCTAAGGACTGATTATAGGATCAGCTAAGAACCGATTATGATCAGCTAAGGACTGATTAGGATCAGCTAAGAACTGATTATGATGAGCTAAGGAATGATTATTATCAGCAAAGGACTGATTAAGATCCATTAAGTATTGATATGGGTCAGCTAAGGACTGATTAGGGTCAGCTAAGGACTGATTAGGATCAGCTAAGGACTGATTATTATCAGCAAAGGACTGATTAAGATCCATTAAGTATCGATTAGGATCGGCTAAGGGCTGACATACGTAATAAGACGTGATCAAATTAGTTGTGTGGTGGGGAGGGGAGATATGACGGGTCCCGATGGCACGTAATTGAGAGTGATAATTATATTTTTCTATTTGCGTCTTGAATTAACTCCATAACTGATTATTATGAAATAGAAACTACAATCAAGCTGTTCCTATTTTCTCCTATGAGCTCTTGAAGACTTATACATTTTATCAGAACCTCATTATTTAGGATATGAGGGAAATCATTACTTAAGGCCAGTGTGTGATCGGTTGTCCGCCCTCGGTTAATTAGCTAAGAAGATATCAGGAACCACCTGATACTGAGAGTAGTAGGAACATTGTTATCTAATGACATTGAAACATGTAGTAGAAACCGAGTTCTAACCCTGCATGGGAGCGTCTCGATAAACCGAAGGATACGTCAATTATCGCGCGAGATAAATTCTGTTAATGCGTTGAGCGGCGGTGGCTGCAGCGGCGCTATATCGGAGCCGCGGGTAACAGTGGCCGGGCGTGGGTAAAATCCCTTTAAAATCACAACCCTCCGTTGACGTTGAATTAGCGTTGATTAAGAATTGATTTAGTTAACAAAATTTACAATAAACTTCATATTTTTCTGGTGATTTTAAATCACCATGCGACACCGACAAGAGTTCAACGGTGTTGATAAAAGTCAGACTTGTGATCGTCAAAATTTTTGCTAATGAGAACTCAGCAACAATGCACATTAAATGACCTAATGCACAATTCACTATTCTATCATATGATCAATCCAGTTAAATCATTAAAAGCGAAAATGCAAGGCACTCACAACAATATCAAGACGGTACAGATTTTAAGATTTGTTCACATTATGATGAATATCGCGGTGCATAAGCAGCTGTACAACAATGATGGTAACCTATGTTTGCAATGTGTCCCCCGCTAGCCTTAATTTTTGCGCAGACTATTTACCGCGACCCCACGACTATTTACCGCGTCCCAACGACTATTTACCGCGTCCCAACGTCTATTTCCCGCGTCCCAACGACTATTTACCGCGTCCCAACGACTATTTAAACGTCGGGACCATGAGTGGCATTACTGTATGCACGTCGGAACCATGAGTGGCATTAATGTAATGTTGGGTAAAGCAACCTCAACATCCATGAGTTTTATGATAAATCAAGTTTAATCATTACCCTTTCATCTATAAACCAGATTTATATGATTTCTTCAAACATAACTAGCATTCAGTGCGCTAAGGGTTATTGTAACTAATAATCATTGAGTTCAGGGGAAATAGAACTATAGTAATCATTGAGCTCGAGGTAAATATAATAATTATTTATAACGACTTAGGCAAATGATAAATAGAACTATTTTTCAGTGGGCTCAGGGTAAATTAAACTCTCAGCAGTGCAGATTTTAGAGATTTGTGCATTTATCACACATTTAATAATGAAGAAATTATTAATAAATGTTATTGTCTGACACGAGCAATTGGTAAGATCATTGACGCTTGTTACATCACAGGAACAATCACTGTATGATGAAACCGATGCTGTGATGATAGCGCACGAGATGAGCTCGTGTACTTTGATGGTAGTCTACTCAATGGTGCTTCGAGATTAACACCGAATATTTTATTTCAAATAAAAAATTTCATTTAACTCTTGCACAAGAATGGCTTTTCTTTATTTTAGTTTTATAACCTGACTTACACTATTTTATTTGAAACTCTAAGTAGAAGCTTTAATAAGTTCAAATGTCTTTTAAAAGACAAGGCGGACTGCGCAATTATTTCTTCAAGAAGTCGTATGGTCCGTAATGGGCGTGGAGACCGAACATGCCGGGACCGTAGCCTAAGCCGTGACCGTAACCGAAGCCGTGGCCGTATCCTAAGCCCATGCCAAGGCCGCCGTAGCCGTACAGGCCGTGTCCGTGGTCGTGGCGGTGGTAGTGCATGTGCATCATTGGCATGCCGTAGCCGTAGCCGTAGCCGCCCACCATAGCCGTGCACGGCCATGGCATGACAGCCATTACGGTCAGGCACAAACACACAAGCTGGAAGAGAAAAGGAAAGATGATATTTTATATGAATTATGGCATTAATCTTATACTCAAAACGAAATTTTTACTCAAACGAAGTTTTGTGTATAGATTGAGTTTGTTCGAGTATACTCAAAACTAAGACTTGAGCATAGTTTTAGAGTTCTAATGCGCTACTCCGCAGTACAACAATATTTGGTTCTCCTAACGTATTTATCCGATACTTCCTACAAAGTAGAAGATCTTTAACTGAAGGATTGATCAACTTATATCTTGCATGGATTAAATTTTCCCAAAGGCATATCTCGGAAACAATCAGTAGAATAAAAATACGGAAACTCGTTTTACCGTTTTAGATATTTCAACAATAACCTATCGGAAAAATAAATGTACTCAAATATGTTATTCATCTATCCGTTCTATCGCATTCCTCACCAGAACTCGAGCAGTCATGTTGCTGGCGCGTGTGTCTCCCGAAGACGTCTAACAAACAATGAGGTTTGAGTAACACAAGAGCCGTGCTAAACACTTGCCCCATGTATGACATCTTGCCTTATAATTGCCGTAATGAAGGCTGGCATTGACGACTGCAGTGAGAGGGAGAAAAAGAAAGGATCCGGTGCAATCGAACCTTCGAATCGAGAATAAAGTCAGATATTTTAGACATGAAGAAATCTCAAAGCGAAGCTCTTTTTAAATGAAAATCTTATTGTATATATATATTTGCCATTGTTTGTTTATGGATGTGCGTGTGTTTGAAGCCTAGTACCGCGAATATATAGTGGTTGTTTGGGCGTGTATCTAGGATACATGAAATTTCATTGTTAGAAGGAAAATTGGAGAATCTGGTTTGAGCAAATTTGTTGCAACTCTGTCATATTAACCTGTCAAACTTTAAAAGAGGACTAAATTGTGAATGACTTGCTGGAGCATCTGAGACTATGACACTATGTATTGTGATTTATTAGGACTCAAAGTAGCCATAGTATTGGTAGCTCAAAACCAAGAAGAAGGACTATAACCACATAAACAGGATTAACTATTGTACAAGAAGAAACTGTTCAAGAGGTTCGGTCAGTTACTAAAGTCGGTAGGGTAGTTTCACTTTCCAATCGCTGATTGCAGGTAGTTCGAGTCGTCCCGCCGAACACTGTAACACGAAGAGAAAACAACAATATCAAAATGAAATATGCATTTCGGTGATTCAGTTTCCTGTTCTGATTTCAAAATTAGTTGGTATTTTCGATGAAATTTTTGAAATATTTTGTATTCAATGAGTCATTGCATGAAGTCTCTCATCTCATCGCATCCAATCAACAATTGCTTGGCCTGCAGCTGGTCTACTGATTTAAGTGAGACGTTCCAGTTAACATTAGCATAGCGAAATAAGACAAAATTATATTTTCAAAATAAGTCGTAATGCGAACGTTTCCCGTAGATTTTATTGTTATCAACACAATTTGATGAAACACAATGGAAACAAACCTCTCCTTCCCACCCCGAGATGCTTCGCTATCCGTTTCAGCCGCAGCAGCCAAACCCGAATTTTGCCATATTTGCTAATAATATTGATATCTGCTCAATTTAAGATATTTCGTTGAAGCTAATCATAAATCATGTGAAATATACTATATTGATACTATATGCAATGACCAATATACTTAATAATATACACCCCATCACTATATATAGATATACTATATTGATAGCTGCATGGTGTACGATAGTTCGTTTGCGCTGCACACATATCAGTAGACATCGCGCATAAAATGCTACACTCTAAAGATGAGTTTCGAACCCACGTCCTCCAGGTCGGTTCGCTCGGCTGAGTTGATGTTCCTAACGCGACCTTAACGCATCTCTAAACCTGCTCGTTCCATGCGTAGCGACGCCCAATTTACGGACAATAAAGACATTCAAGCGTCAACCTGCTGTCTGGTCCATGCTGTCGCTGCCGCTTGCCATCCGCTATTGAAGAGTAAAGGCAATATCTTGCAGGGTAGCTTGATCATCCGTGGCAGCACACGATCCATCCTTTTTGAGAAATAATCCAGACTATGTCCAAAAAACGATGCACTTTTTATTCTTGCGTGTGTCATCCTGAACCAATTTATCCCGTATCCCGGTAGAAGGCTTTCGGTGTTACATCCATTCTCTGCTCCTGATGTGGTGAAAAAGTATGTCACTAATTGGACACAATAATCCGTTCATTTTTCTGAGCGCAGCCCGGATGCATAGCTTCGGATATACAAGACTATAACATGGGATATAGCCTCATCCCCTCAGAACCCCTCAGGAACAAAAATTTCCTTAACCAAATTCAAGAACCCTTCAAATTTCCGTAACCTAAAATGCGGTTGATAAAAAATTAAATTTTAAATCTGAAACCCCAAATATCCCTTCACTAAAAAGTGTAAATCTTTAGAATAAACTGAACAATTTTCTTTATTGAACAAAAAAAATTAATTATGAATTGGTTAATATAGTGAGTCTATAACACAATGAATAAATCAGATACTGAGGTGCATGAGAGGTGCGTATTGCTCACTCGTGAAATCACAGTTTGCGTTACAGGAATTCAACAGCGAGGCTGAACGAGCAGGACGGTCATGAATCATGTACAGTGTGGAGCAGAAGTTCATGTTCAATGGGAGTGATTATGAGGATCAATGACGGTCAGGTAGATCAATGATAGTACTCATATGCTGACCAATGTCGACCATATTGATAATCTGTGATGACGTTGGATAGTAAGGGTCATGTGAACCAATGGTGATCATGTAGGTCAATGAAAAATACCCATATGTTGATCAATGTCGACCATGCTGATTATCTGTTAACATGTGATATGAAGGATCATGCGAACGAAGCTGATCATGCAGATCAATGATTGTCGTGTGGGCCAATGTTGATCGTGTAGGACTATATGATGATCATGATGATCAATTTCAAATGAATAAGTTAATATTTTATCTTAATTTTTCATTTTATTTTTCTAAGGAAATTATGAGATCAGTAGTGTTGACGGTAATCATATAAGCATGATCCGATGTATGCCTGATAATCGCTCATAACCATGAGATATCATGCCGTACGATGAAAATCACGTGAATCGAAGATGAATGCATAAATAGTCATTTTGGTTACCGAGGTCGTGATTGTTAACGCCTGCGACCAAGCCGTTGTAAAATCCCCCGCATGTGATCTCAAGGGACGATCGCACGCATCCACGGAGGTCGTGTCGGTTGATCGAGGCCGCTACCAGACGATCGAGGCTGCAGATCACCGAGCGGAACTGCACGACATCGATCACGGTGCGTGTAGTCATCCTGGATCAATGTAGGACCAACGGTGCATCTTCCCTCTATCGTAATCTCTGGATGCTCCGACAGTTCCCGTAAATGTGCGACCCTCACCAAGCGGCGTATAAAGCTGAGCGCTCGGCCCTCAGTTGTCACAGTCAACGCAGCGGTCAAACCCACAGCACAACATGAAGCTCATCCTGGTGAGTGGATCAATTTACATCACTCAACTAATTCGTCATTTGTCCCAATTTTATAATTCGTCTTAAATGAGCTCATTCTTTGCAATTCGCTCCAAACGTCAGAGCAGTGATTTCGGCGCCAAAGAGTAGGCCTTATGTGGTGTAAGAAGAAGATCGAGTAAGAAGTGTTTCAATTGAACGTAAGGAATAATTACAAATAAACTAACTTTTTCCTCCGAATTGAGCGTTTTTAACTGTGGCTCATGATTGCTATAGCTCGATCAGCGAGGCAGCAGGTAAAAGTCGTGTAATTTTACGTCACTATGGCTAGAATTTTACATGGGTCCATGGCTAGAATTTTTTTAACCAGGGACGAGTAATGTAACACAGGATCTCATGCCCATACCCATGCTAGACTTGAGTACAGAACGAGTTCGCTGAACTAATGTATATATTCAGGAACCGATATGCATTAACAGTCGGAAAACTGATGTCAAAGCGCCGTTCTATCTAAAATAGTTATGAGTCCGTGATTCTGTCATCAAATAACTGACGGCTTTCAAGCTAAACCATCAATACTTAGACGAGAAATCTGCCACTACGTGTACCCAAGCCTTTATGTATATACTTAATTTCAAGCAACTTTTGAGAGTCCGGCCCCAGGTGTGCATCAGACAGAGATGTCGAGAAGCCTGGTCCCACTTTAGACTATTTCATAATCGATTATTCAGGATCTGACATCTCGCCCAGCCTCGGTGAAGTTTCAGTATTATAAAAAATTCTTTATTTCCTTATTGAGTCCAGTACACAGTCACAAAAATTCAATGCCTTATCCATTACATAATTGATGTGGCATGCAATACTAGAGGCAAACTATAACTAAACTTACGTACACTTGCAGCTCTCTCTGGCACTCACGTGCTTCAGTCTCGCCGCCGCCAAGCCTGCCGCGCAACCTGAAGCTGAAGCGAAGCCTGAAGCGAAGCCAGAAGCCGAGGCCCTCGCTTCATTTGGTGGTGGATTTGGTGGAGGATATGGTGGAGGTCACGGTTATTATGGAGGATACGGAGGACATGGCTACGGCGGATACGGTCATGGAGGATATGGATATGGCCACGGTGGATACGGACATGGAGGATATGGTGGTTTTGGATACGGTGGACATGGTGGCTACGGACACGGATACGGCCACGGTTACGGACATGGGTACGGTCACGAAGGATATGGTCATGGTTATGGTCTGGTATATGGACACGGCTACGGCCATGGAGGATATGGCCACGGATACGGAGGATACGGAGGTTACGGAGGATACGGAGGATACGGCCACGGAGGTTACGGGGGTTTCGGAGGTTACGGGGGCCACGGAGGCTACTACAAGAGATAACTTGAAGTTGTTCTGCTGTGATATGTTGACGAGTTGACGCTAGCGATCCACCAAGCGAACGATTGTTAACGACACGCACTTTAGAATAAAACGAATTGTACGAATAATAATTCCATTCTTTCTTTATCCATATGTTTACAAAATTGTAGTCGTTCGTTCCAAAGAAGTTTCCAATTAAATAGCACGGGAAGTCACAAAAGCTGCTGTTTTTAAACGCAAGAGTCCAAACATTTGTATTCGTTTCAGAAAAAGTTTAAAATTTATGGCAGTCATCTAATTCGTCGGGAAATATATCTTTTCTCCAGGATAAATGATCGGTTCCATTACATCACGCCTATGCTAGATAATTCCAGTTTCAAGTTAATTTGGGAAAAATATGAGACTTTTCTTTAATGTCTGCAACAATATTTGTAACATCTGCTATCTGCAACAAAGGACGCAGGAACAAACTTCCCGGAACCGAAATCGATCCCAAATCTAAAAAAGTCACCACTATATTAAATATGAATCAATTTGGTGGCAACATTAAATTTTTTTAATCAATTGATTTATAGGCAGTCACTATTCAATCACTCGTCCGAGTTTGTAAGAAAACATTATCCAGCTTTGTGCGCTTATTTTTATCGCGGATTCAACAAAAATTTAAGTTCAAAGTTTGATTCACGGATACGATGGACATTGACAGTTCAATGTCCATTTTACTTCAAGGAATTTAGTTTAAATAAATTATGGACTGACAGCCACTTACCTTATTATAATCTGCACTGTTCATTTTATTACAATATTTCCAATGGTTGAGACTACACTAGCTTGTAGGGCTGCATTTACACCAAACTTGTTACATTTATACGCTTGCCAAATTCGAATGCACTATTTCTCGCCAATGGAATTTGACTAAAAAAACCTTCAGTTTGAACACAAAGCATAACATAAAATAATCAGAACATGTATTAAAATCACGTGTTTTCTTGAATCGCAAGTTAAGCAGGAATTTAAAAGCCAAGACAATACCACAAAAATTCACCATATCTTTATGAAAGAAAACGTTTCGTTTTTAGCAAATCGACATTTACCGACTTAAGTACCAGCTTTTTCAGCTGTTGCTCCTTTCGTTTCAAGTTAAATGGCGTCCAAACATTGATAAACCGCGGCTTTCGCATTTGTTCTACTTTCCTAGCCATGCACTCTGAATTGAAATTGTTGCGCAATATCTTTTCACAAAATGGCTTTCCATCCATCCTGGACGCTCTGCGATCAATGCACCCAAGCGACTTACAGACAATATTTCCAACATTCGCATTTTTACTGAACGTTTTCTTCCATCGGTAGCCTCGCCTGCTTATAAATGCAAGTAGACGGGCGTTTATGAACGAATCCGCAGTAAGCGCAGGTGTGACCTCTGTTTGTATGTGTTGACTGTGATCTCGTGCGCGTAAAAATGACTTGCTGAAATTTCGCTTCACTGACATTCGTAACTAAAGGTCCAAGATATATCCCACGTTCACGTTGGGTGAAGGCGAGTATGTCATCTTTCACTCATCATTCAGGTCCGAATCATGAGTGAAATTTATCCAAATCATCCCATATTTAATTCTGAGAGCAGCAAGAGCATTTGACTTCATTTCAACACCATACAAAATACCTTCAAGCGATAAATACGTAATAAAAAGTATTGTTAGCCGGCAGCAAACCCAATTGACGCTTCGAGTATAATTTATAGACTCGATGAAAAGCGACTACAAACGCGCTTATTAAATAACCATCATCGACGAAAATATACATATAACTGCTCTAATTGTTTGAAGGTCTCATGTCCTTTTTGTATCTAACTTTTAAATATTGGGGATTCTAATGTGAACTTCTAATTGGTTCCAGGATGACATGTAGTATAGCTACGAAACTGTTGGGTTCTCCAGAGATCAGAACGTTTAGACGACTGTCGGTTCACCCTTTATCTCATAAACAAGTCCAGCAACTTCCATCAAACCCATCAGCTCCTTGCTGATGAACGAAGGCGGATGGACAATCCACTCATTTAAGGCACCTAAATACAATATCAGCTGGTTTATTTGCAGACGAAACATTACTCCAGTCTGCCGGGAAAGCATATTGCCCCTCTATTTTACAACACTTCGCTTTAACTTCACTTCTAGTTTGTTCGTCTGCTACAAATCTTATAATCGATATTTAACACACTTTTACCTGTCCAATCGATCTGTAATTTTGCATACTTGCGTAAAGTTGGAGACAATACATGAATCAATTGATAGAATAAATAATTTTAAAATTAAAAAAAAAATCAACATTAAAATTTTTTTTAATAATTTTGTCTGCTACAAATCTTATAATCGATATTTAACACACTTTTACCTGTCCAATCAATCTGAAATTTTGCATACTTGCGTAAAGTTGGAGACAATGCATAAATCAATTGATAGAATAAATAATTCTAAAATTAAAATAAATTCAATATTAAAAAAAATTATAAATAATTTTGTCTGCTACAAATCTTATAATCCATATTTGACACACTTCTACCTGTACAATTAATTTGAAATTTTGCACACTTGCATTAAGTCAGAAACAATGTATGAATCAGTTGACAGAATAAATAATTTTGAAAACTTACAAAATTTTTACATATTAAAAAAATTTTTAAAACAATTTTTTTAATATATGAAAATAAAATTAGAAATTCTTTGTGCATGTGTAACATCAAAGACACTGGATTCTTTAGAAGTGTTTTTATTTTTTTTTAATTTTTAAACGAATTGAATTCCCAAGAATTATTTATTGATTAATTAATTATTAAATAACTTGAAATTTTGCACACTACGGTCTCGTTTTTAATGTAGCAAAGGTCATTGTGTCGGAAAAATAAGAATGCCTGTTAAATAAAATGCTTTATTATACTATACGGTCGCACGTATATAAATGCTATAACAGGAATACGTGCGACTTCCACGGTAAACTGGACGCTAAAATACTCGATTCTTGTAATAATTTTAAGAGTATTAGTATTTACAGGCGATAGACGTTATTTGGCATGCATAGCCGTCTCATATGCTTAACACGGTGCCTATTGCATCAAATTTAAACCACAAAGCCAACGTTGGCGAGATTATCGGCTTAGCACATTAATACTTATTATGTTCATTCAGTTGCAAAAATGGGTTTATGTACTTGGCTATTAAATAAAATAAGTAAGCGAGAAATGTATAGGCGAGACGGAAAAGTTCTTGCGTGTGTGACGGCAGCCGTACTGAAACTCGAGCAACACAATCGCACATGTTCGTGCAGGAGCCTACGTGCCTTCATGCATGTACGAGCAGCAAGTGCAAGCAAGAGGATACTTTATGTGCGATCTCTTATAGGAATCTGGTTCATAATTTTGGATGATGAAAGGCAATACTCAAGCACACATATTCATCCAAATATAACCAATAACTCCAAATACCCCAAACCTGAAGAAGTCGGAAAGTTAATTACGTAGCGGTACCTCATGCGTGCATGGTGCTCTCCGGTTCCTTATTCATTGTACAGAACTTGAAAAATAAATAATAATAAAGATAATAATAGCGGTTTCAGCGTTCATAAGGCCGTAGGCCTGCCGCCTATTTTTATCATCGCAGAACATTCACAGCTTTTTGCAGTTTCTAACTCGCAACTCACTGCTACAATTCTGCTGTGCTTAACCGCCCGGCCTCCTTGCCGATTCTGACCAGAAACTGGCGCACAGAGCTGAGATCGAACCCGCACCTCTCTGCTCCAATCCTGGTACTCTGAACTGTAACCACTAGGTCACCCTGCCCCATGACGCTGACATTTACTGGGGTAAATGGTAAAGCCGCGCTTACGGATGTATCCGAATTCAAGGCAGCACAAACACGGCTAATTGACGAACGCAAAACAAACGAATTTTCTGTGTGTTGGTCGGAATCTCAAAAAAACGCTCCTGAAAGCCTCCCAAATTTTTGGATGTGCATTTGAGCCGCTCTGGAAGTTGGATTGGGCTACATATTGTAGCCGGTGTTGCACTTGACACTGAAACATGTCGGGCGTGCATGAATGACTAACTTTTTGCGATATTGAGTATTCTTTACTTTTTACCTCATAAACAATCTACATGAAAAAAGTCTACCTACATGAACTACGCAATAAAAATCCTCGTCATATCTTCATAGTTTCATACGACGAGCGTCAATCATTGAATAAATCACCGACTTTTTCACCGCGAACAAAGGGAGGCTTAGCATATGAAAAAGGAGGATAATTTCAACACAATTTTTGTTCGTTTATTTTCGTACAGTTCGTAGGCTCGTCGTAAAAAGTATTAAATAATAAAGAAATGACAGAATTGAAGTTTCGTTTGGTCGTTCACAAGTCCCGAAACGCGGAGCTGGGATTCTGGCATCGCTGCATGGCTGGTGGATTACTTGTAGCCATATCCTCCGAAGCCACCGTAACCACCATATCCACCGTGGCCGTGATAACCGTGGTGGCGGGCCACGTAATAGTACACTGGGTATCCATAACCGTATCCATAATGACCGTGGCCACCGTATCCACCAAAACCATGTCCTCCAAAGCCTCCGCCGAAGCCACCGCCAAAGCCACCGCCGAAACCTCCGAGCCCACCAAATCCATGACCGTAGCCGTAACCGTAGCCAGGAGAATACGTGGAGTAGGCGTAGGTACGGCCGTACTGGACTCCGTGGCCTCCATGGCCGCCGTAGCCGTAGCCACCAATGCTGGGCTCAGCCTCAGCCTTTGCCTCAGGCTCGGGGTCAGCCTCGGCAAGTACGGCCGAGATGACGGCCGCAAACATAACTACGGTCACCTGTAAGGAATAGTTTCATTATCTATTACATATATTAGAAACTGAATTTATTGGTTCGTGTAATTGGGACCAGCTGCTATTTGCTATTATTTTGCATTAGCTATTTGGGCGCGTATCCACGATACCTGCCGTACCATAACTGCACAGATGTTACATTTCTACTACACTTCTTATTGTTTGTCTGTCTGCTACAAATCTGATAATCGATATTCAACGCACTTATTCTGGTATATGGTATTCCAGATCTGACCTGTCCAATTGATCTGAAATTTGGCACACTTGCGTAAAGTTGGAGATAATGCATGAAGCAATCGACAGAATAAATCATTTTACAATTAAAAAAAATTATTTCGAATATTAAAAATAAATAAAAAATATATTTTTTAATATTTAAAATAAATAAGAAATTCATTGTACATGTGTAACATCCGAGACCCTAGCCTCTTTAGAAGTGTTGTCTTTAAAAAGTAATTTTTAAACGCATAATATTAGAGGTAGAATCGTGAAGCATTGCTTGTCAAGATCAATTACAAATTTCCAATTGGGGTTTAATGATTGAATTTTTCAACTAAAATGCAGTCCTATGTTCATAAACCAAGATATCCTTCAGATATCAAAACAAGGATTGAATATTTTTTTTACGAGGGTTGGAGGGGATTTATTTAATTAGCAATGATTTAGTTTGATAATTGTTATTATATTAGAAAAATTATTGTAAGAAGAGAAAAAATTAATTATGGCATTATAAAATCTGTAGTTTTTCCGATCATGAGCAATGCTCAATTAATGCATCTGCTAACATAAAATATATATGGTGAATTTAACGAACTTAGAAACTGACGATAAAATGATGAGTTATATTCAGTGCTGGTTGGAAGGTGAATTTCTGCAACCTATATTATTTTAGTTAATGAATGATCAGACAATTTGATTTAAGGATGATCTCAGAGACCTAATTCACAAATAGAAATTAAATTATCACAAATTGAAGTAAATATAACAGAAGCGCAGAAAACGCTTGTTGGTCATCTGATTCTGCAGACTTTATAAGAATTACAGATCAATAATAGTGGGAACCATCCATTTTTGTGTTGAAAATCTATACACGCCGAGTCAAAAAACATCGGAAAATTTTAATGGATATGTCTCTTTTTCTAAATTTTCGCCTTATGATTCATAACCTCAACCCTTAAAAAAAACTCTAGGACCTGTAAGATTAATTTTTGCACTATGCTTCTTACCCTCAACCATCAAGAAAAACTCTAGGACCTGTAAGATTAATTTTTGCACTATGCTTCTTAACCTCAACCATTAAGGAAAACTCTAGGACCTGTAAGATTAATTTTTGCACTATGCTTCTTATCCTCAACCATCAAGAAAAACTCTAGGACCTTTAAAATTAAGGCAACCTCGCCGTACCAGTTTGGAAGGCATGTTGTCAGCTGCACGGTTGTGCTCTACAGTTAGGACGCTCTGCTGTCGGTTTGTGTTGGTGGCGGAGACCGCGCGCTGTTTATATGCCAGTGACATCGCGTTGCGTCCTTCACGTCCCGCTGATGGTCATCCTACATGTCACAGGAGGCGCTCGGTCAAAGGACATACAGGGTTATTAAGGAGCATCCTGAGGATACACTCAGGGAGATTAGTGATAATTTGTCTGAATTGGGATTCTCATTTTGTTCTTGTGTGGGTCACTGTGAACCGGTTTGGCACGGTACACAGGCGTATCACTGCTACGTTCATAAAGTGGTTCACTATTAGGACATAGTGACATCCATTTTCTGTGAGTAACGCACGGTAATCGTCATCAGCTACGAGGCTTTGACGCCTGAATGAAGAAGATGAGCGTGAGCGCGGGATAGTGACGTATGAAATTGTCATTAGTTATCGTACTTAAACGCCTTTAATGAGACATAGTATTACTAATAGGAGTTGAGTCTTAATTAATTTAGTTTGCGTGTATTTGACGGGAAGTTTTTAACTTGAGAAAGTCACATTGGATTGAGTTAGGTCATCCGATGAAAGCTGATCATTGGTTCGTGGGATTATTCTAAGAGTCGTTACTAGGCAATCGGAGATAATGGGGAAATATTATGAACTGATAAAACGTTAATTCGGATTACAGAACTCGTTGAATTATCTATGAGGTCATTATCCGGACTTCGTTGATTAATTAGTGATAAAAAGTGAAAAGTGGGAAACGATGCTTATCGTTTGAAGTCATTGAACCGCTATCTAATTACTAGAAATAAATTATATATGAGTAGTGAGTGATAAGGCCTCAGCGTATTATTATTATTTGTATTCCCCAACTGATCGGAGATTAATGGAGTAGCTGAAAAACATATGAACAAATACGGACAAAAAAATCATTTTCCGGCGCTATAAATGAAATTTTTGCAATAAAAACTCCGCAAAAATTGTTAATCCCTGCGACCTATGTCTGTTAACATAACATCTATAAACCTACAGAGTCGTCAATGAAACCATAACTGATCATCTGAATTAATCATATAACCACGAAGTATTCTAAATTCTGGATTCAAACATGGCAATCATTCTAGCTCAAGTTGCACAACCTCTTTATTTCTTTATTAAAATTAGTACGTATCAAGCATATGGGTGTAGCCAGAAGTTCATTATCAAGTTCGCGGTCACCTGCAAGTACCGGCAATTGTCCGACGTAATTATGAGGGCTGGTGAGCAATCTTTCGTGTATCTCAAAGTCACGTGTTAGAAGCCCGCTCGTATCTACGCTACACGACTCCGCTCACGGCCCCAGCCCGACCATGACAAGGCATGTCACGACACATGTCACGGTGACTGTTAGATCTGGTCACGCTCGAGTGACACACCAGGTCAAACTCGAGTGACACACTAGGTCAAACTCGAGTGACACACCAGGTCAAACTCGAATGACACACCAGGTCAAACTCGAGTGACACATCAGGTCAAACTCGAGTGACACACCAGGTCAAACTCGAGTGACACGCCAGGTCAAACTCGAGTGACACACCAGGTCAAACTCGAGTGACACACCAGGTCAAACTCGAGTGACACACCAGGTCAAACTCGAGTGACACGCCAGGTCACACTCGAGTGACGCACCAGGTCACACTCGAGTGACGCACCAGGTCAAACTCGAGTGACACACCAGGTCAATCTCTAGTGACACACCAGGTCACACTCGTGTGACACAGTATTTGACGCTCAAGTGACACACTAGTCGACGCTCAAGTGACACACTAGTTGACGATCAAGTGACACAGTTGCGTGTTTCAGGTGATGCATCACGGCACTGAGGTGTCAGACGAATAAAATTGCTCTGCTCGCTTCCACTGGTCACTAGATAGAACGGTAAATCATGTAAGTTGAGGACATTTCGTTCTGTCGTCACCTCATGGAATTTTTCATCCTCCCTAGTATTTTCTTGATTCGCCACGAGATTCATAGAGCGCCAGGTATTTCTAGTACTTCCTATTCAACCCAAGGAGCTTTTCCAATTTAATCTGAAATTTATATAACCTTGTATATTTGCCAACTTAATTGAACCCCTACTTTAATGTTTGTTAATTCAACGCTTGCTAAAAGTTCCTTTAAATAATGAGCACCAACATGCTACGTTCAACTTGACAGCTCTGTATGTTCTGCGCTTGAGGATGACCATACGCATCTTGCGACCACACATCAGGAAAGCTGTAATAGGCATAAGCAGTTATGTCATACTAATGGAAAATAAAAGCTCACATTATCAACTGTAAGTCATAATATCTGACATTCAGCAGTATTGTGCTGTGTATTTCATGGCATAAGCACAGCAACTTTATAAACACTTTTCGCGCAACGTTTGCTTCTTTCTTGTCATTGTTCTCAGAGATGGGCTGTATGCTGCAGTCGTAGATTGCACTCCGGAAAAAAAAAACATGCTATCTATCGCAAATGCTTACAAAGTATATAATAAAAGTGCCTTTTGATAATATTTTTTTTAAATACATCATTTTTTACGGGATGAGTGCACGTTTGAATTCTTTCTCTGCCTCCAAATGCATTGGTGGAACTTAAATGTGCAATAAAAATAATACTATAATGATATTATTAACAAATGCAGCTGGCATAAATTCAATGACAGTCAGAAACCTGACAAATCTTCCGCAATAAGCATACTTTTCTATATAATAGGCTCAGGATGCTCAGATACCAGTTAATTCAACTTTATGATTGCGTGGAAATAAAGAATTGAACTACCCTATGGGCTATATTTAAAGCAACTACTGATTGGATCAATACTTTCCCGACGATTAATACTTTTCCTTCATTAACAAACAAGTTTGCCTCATCGTCTTGACGTACACGTCTTAAAACTGGCATGTTCACTGTTCAGTTGATATTACTCTAGGAATTTTAAATGTACATGTAGTTTTTGGATAAAATTACTCGTTGAAACGAGGGGTTCACTCATGGCAAACAATAAGACTGCAAACTCACCTTACTTCACTTCGAGGCATCCTTCAGCTACCTGGACTTTTCACGATGAGTAATTTCAGAAAAACCCCATTTGAAAATCTAGCTACCAATTCTGTGATATAAATGAGAAACAACTTTATACCTCAGCCTTGATAATCAGTCGTAAGAATATTTTAATTATCGAAAAATTCAATAATTTGTCAATTTCGACTTTCGAGATTGTTCATTCTTTTATTAGGCAAGCGAATGATTTGCCTCTGTATCAAGTTTTTTAATAAGCATTTTGCATCATTTACAGTTGAACAGTTGCATTTTTTACAGTTAGTTACAGACTTACAGTTGAATTTTTTCGCTGTCTCTATTGTAAATTTCACTCTCGGAAAGAAAATTGCACTGCTCTCAAGCCTCTCATTGAAACCAATTTAGCGAGTTTACGACAAGTACTATTTTTGTATTAGTTCATTTAATTTTACTTCTGTCTTGCCAATAACAAATTTGTCACCTTTGACCTTTCCCTTCGCTTCACAGAACAATACTTGCAGGAATATAGCTTTACAAATCAACCAATTCGTTAGTCACCTTGCCCAGCAACGATTCAAAAATTACTCTTATTCATAAAATGTCAGTTTGAAAAAAAATAAACTACAAACTGTATACTATGCGATGACGAACATAATTTAGATCAGGTTCTTGACTATACATAACGGCCTTCGATCGAGATGACATCCAATACAGCACAGCCACCAAGCGCGGCAACGTGTCGCGCTTGAGATTTGACTTCCATGAGGTTCGACAAGCATGTCGCACTGGCCTATTCTGTCTGCGTCTGCTGGAACAGATGATCTGCTTCGTAGATTTTTTCAAGCATACGCATGGACCACCAGCCAAGGTTCCACACAAGAAGTAAACCTCCGTAAACAGCTTGCGTGCGGCCATATATTTATGTGCATACATTCGACATGTCTATTTGTTGATGATGACATCTGAGGGCTGATCTGCGCAGCCATTGCTTCATCCGAACATTCGTGGCTGCGCGACTTTACGGTGCCGAAGGGCGATACTTTCTTTAATTGGATGTATTTTTTAATGGAAAAATTCACCTAAAGTTAACTCAGCAAGTTTAGTGATAAAAGTTTTTCACCCAAATTTAACTCTTCATTTTACTTCGAAACTTTAGTTCAATGCTTATGTCTTTTGAGATAAACGTCGACATGGGGACAATCATGATTTGTTCGTTTGATTATTCTTGCAATTTTAGAATTACAAGAAGGGCTTATCCATTCCCAGCACACAAGGGAGACCTGCAGTAAATGATTTTTTTTTGTGCCCTGATATTTCAAAGTTCCCCTATTGTGTGACCATTTATCTCATTCCATTGTACGACATTCCGTAAATTCTTCTCTGTGCGCAATTGCTCACTTCATATGTGTTGTTTCTGAACCGATGTCATCGTTATAAGCGATGAGCACATCACATGTTTACAGAAGCCTGTCAACGGCGCTCATAAATTACATTGAGAAACATCATCCGGACAGACGATGCATTTCAATACCTATAGCAAATAATGCTTACTAAACAAAGTATTCCACAAAGCAGTGAAATACCGCGATTTTTAAGCAATACTTTGCACATATGAATAATGTGCTTCAAATCAAATCATTGCACTGAAGTGTAACGGAACTGTCACAGCAGGGCCTTCTTGTGCAGCCGTGCCTGTAACGTGCACTTATCGTCGTCATAAATCAATCCTGACTTACCTGCAATTGTGAGATACGCACGCGCTCTCCTTTTGTTCTGCATGCATTTTGATGAAATTGAGTACATTTTATCTTCTGTTTGACCAACAATATGAAATTTGAAATTGTTAACTCATGCTTCTATTTTTATCAATGACTTAGAATTGAGTTTTAAAAGACGTGATTTTTGTTATAGTTTGAACTCTTCAGCAAACGAGCAAAACTGGCCAGGTTTAAGCAACAAGAATAAAATAATTTGTTTGTAATCACGACAGATTAAATGAAACTATAACTGATAGCTTATCTATATTCTTGTATGAACAGATTTCGGCCAACTAGAGCTTGTCGAAACGATGTTCTGACATGTTTAGCTGCGCTGGTCGTGATGACGAGAGTTTAGGCTAAACTCACTCATTTATGTAATATCTGTTAAACTAATAGTAATGGCTTGTGATATAAATATATAACTATTAGATCATTAATCGTTTCCAATAATAAACAATAAACAGGTAATAATAATTCTAATAGCAGAATTAAATCTAACAAAATAATGGCTGATGTCGCTGAGGTATAATGTGGGATTTAACGAAACTTGATACGCTTAGAAACCATCAATTTATGAGCTAAGCATTGTGAGGGATAAATTTCAATTTGTTTTAACCGCCAATTGTATAACAATAACGATAAGGCATATCGATCAACCGTGTCACTCGGTCCCTACATAAAATTATATTGCGTGTAACCGCTCACCGTAAAATTTAATCTTATATCATCAGTCTGTTTAAATCGCAAGTTCACCAAAAATTTAAAAGTAAATATATTGCCAAAATTACTAACCGCATCTTCAACTAAAATGTCTATATTCATTAATTATTTTTAAAATTTAAAATAGAAATCTCTAAAAAATTCATTCATTCTTAATAGACGAATTCGCCTGGTCCCAAAATTTGTGCAAGGATTGAGGCAATCGAGGTGACCTCGCCGTAGCCCGGTCAGGGAGCGGACGTATATAAGCCGAGGGAAGAGAGAGGGCGCGCTCACACGACGCTCTGAGATGGCTAGGGGAAGCGTCTGCCGCTCCGTCACCACCGTGAGTCGAGCAAACCTAATGACTTTTTAATTAACATTTTCTACACTAAAGCCTGCTTGTTTTTGGTCACGCTCCAATTGGCTCCCTTTCACTTTCTTTAACCCTTCTACTATTTGACTTGAACCCAATAACATTGAGTTGCATTTTAGCACGAGATACATTGAAATAACTTGTTACTGAGGACGTTTTCTTAAATTCTCTATTAATATATTTATCACAGCAACAAATGTTATTAACTACATTTTTAAATGCTCCTCGTTGAAAACACATGGCGTTAGGTGGCCTTTAAAATATGTTTTCCAACAGATTCTCCTAAAACATCGAAATTTCGGAATAATATTCAAAAGACTTTCTCGGGTTAACATTATTTGCCGATTTCCTTTACTTTTTTGTCTGATGCATGTTTAATATAAAAAGAAGCAACAGTAAAGGCGAATCAATATGTCTATTTACCAATATTCAGGACACTCATACATGTTATCTCAACTTAATGAAAATAATCCATTGTTGGTTGCATTACTTTCAAATTAACTTGTGATTTGTCTTTGGTTAATAGTGAATAATTTCACATAGTTAATTATTATTATTATTATTCCACGAAGAGATTGTCATGGCGTCTGGTTCGGATCGAACTTCGAGGGCACGTTACAAGTGGCTAAAAAAGACACGAGAGGATAAAAACAGATGACGTCTATGCTAAAACAAAGGACATATGCCAAGACTGACGACGTCTATCATAGAACAAACAACACCTATGCTAAACCAGTAATATACATAATAGATTAGATGACGGCTAGGTCTAAGATTCATAGGCTCTACGGAAAAGTTCTGTTTTTAGGCGATTAATAGTGAAGGAGAGCACACAGTTAATAATGAAGGAGAGTCCACAATTTATAGAGCTGCTAGAAGAGTACGTAATTAAAAGTGACGCTCCAAAATTTGAGAATAAAATGAGAAATGAATAACACATCAGTAAACACACACTAATTATTTCATATTATATAGAATTGATTCAGAAAACTCAGTTTTATTATTCATTAATTAATGCAAATTAATGGCAGGTGCTGCTGTTGCTGGGAGCGCAGCCTCTCATGGCAAGTCCCAGCCCAGTCCCAGATGCCCAGCCTGAACCCAAGCCCAAAGCTGGAGCAGACCCAGCAGCAGACCCAGCAGCTGACCCAGACCCTCAGCTGGGACTGGGACCAGGTTTTGGAATTGGTCCCGGGTACACAGGAGCTGGACTTTATTCTGGGAGTTTAGGAATCAATTCTTTAGGATTTACTGGGACTGATGTTCTAAGCGCCTATAGGTTAGGGCTTGGTCCTTACGGATTTAATGGCCACGGTTTTCATAGGTACGGTTACCCTTACGTGGAGTACGGTTATGTTGAGTCTTATCCTATCGTACAAGAACATTACGGGCATGCAAATGACCATTATCACCACAAAGGTCATCTTCACGACCACGAGCATCTTCACAAGGGCCACGGCAAACAGTACGACCACGATTCTAAGTACTATCACGGCACACGGTACGGTCACCCACGGTATGCTGGCATAAACCCGTATACGCCGTATGAACATTCGCCGTATCGCTACAGGAGCTACAGTGCCTTCAGAGACTACGGCGGCCATGACCGTCACGGCTACCGCCACTACGGCCATCACGGCTACCGACACGGAGGTCAACACGTTCACGGTCACCGCAAGTCTCTGTACCATCATAAATCGGATCCTCATCACAAACATGAACATCACAAAGAATACAAAAGTCACCATCATCGTCATCATCACCACGGACTAAATCACCATATTTCTCACCATCCCGTTTACGCATATCATGACTTGCAGCATCACAGCCATCACTAGCTGTTATACTAGCGCACTAGTGACGACATCACCATCAATCTGGATCGCATCCCGCATTAAAATTACACCCAAATGGTGTTGGATCCACTGTCTCGTAACACGTACACGTAGCCTACTGTTAACCCTGAGCTGAACGCGAAGCGTGAACGAATTCAGGTTTCTTAGTCTTTATATATGTTTATATATTCGAAAAGAATGTTGAATATTATGTGTGATTGACTAAAACGAAGCAGAGAATAAAAGCGTAAGATATGGAGTCTGTCTTTAACCGTAAACTGTGAATGATATCTGCCCTCGAAAATTGCGAACACATACGTGAACGAAATCAATTATTTGTGACAGCAATAAACGAATAAACGAGACGAACCTCTCATTTTGAGCGATCTCCTGGATGGAGAGTAAGAGTACTAAATTCTAGTTAATTTGATCTGTTCGCTGTGTTTTTCACTTTGAATTGATGGGAAAGACTTTCAGCTCAAAAATGACTTACATATTCCTAATAGATTGCATTTTTAGTTTCAAATAGTACATTACATAGAACTCGTTTCGTCAATGAATAAGCAGAAACCGTTGTTCAGAAAATGTTTTAACAAAGCATAGGAGCCCTCTCTTACATTGATTTTTAGGAATGGGATTCGAAGCCTATATCTCCACCTCTTAATTTTTGACCGACGTAATAAAATGTGATTGCTGAATCCTCAGGATATATTCGACGGCTTTATTTAAAATGTTTTTAGAAGATTTAAAATATTAAGAAGTAATTATAATTTAAATATCAATAATTATTCAAAGGAAGGAGACTCCAAGGTCATTTTCTGGTCCAACTGGCTGCAGCGGATGATACAATAGAAATGTCGCCACTGAAGAAATAGGCCCATGGCCTGTTGCCGATTCTTGATGAACTGTAGCACCTAAATTGACCAAGTTTTTTTTTCTGTCGTTTGATATCAAAGCGTTTAACTTTTTTTAGAGTTCTTATATGCTTTCAGGCAAGAATCACTTTATTGAAGGTAATAGCTTATTGTATCAAAAACTAATTTTCTCTTCTAATAACTTTGCTGAAGGCCTATCTTCCTACTGCGCGGCTGAGTTACGTTTAATAAATGTTTTTTTCGTGAATGTACTAATTTTAAAACATATTCAATGTTTCGCTGCGAAATAAAATGTTATAATATATTCTTGTAATTTTATTTGCCATTTGTTTTCACTTCTTCTGAAGTTATCGTGAGTAACGCACCTCGGCTTCTGTGCGTCGCTAAACCTATTTTTTTTTTTTTTTTGAGAAGTATGGGGATGCATTGTTTCACTAATATCGTAATCATTCACCGATAACAACATCGCTCAGATTCCACCTCCGCCGCTCGAACTTGTCCTGAAGAATTAATTGTATTTAAATGAGTTCCATATCTCCACAAATTACCGTGCATTGCAACACTGAACTCAACGAGTCTTCAGGTCATACGAAAGCAAAGCATTGGTCTTTAGGTGACGAACTTTGCACAATTGGCAGCTGATTTAGCTCTTAGCTCTTCAGAAGCATGGTTGAACTAGTAGAAGGTTGATCCATGAGAAGCTTATTTTCGCGGATGGAGCTTCTTGTTCGCATGTTACGTCACTGATCTCAGAGACGCCACGGGCATTAACCAATCACCGAAATGCGTTCAAACCAGTCAACCAATCCGTCATGGGAATGACGGGTTTGCTTACGTTTCTCGATCTCTTTGACGCAACAAGAGAGCCAAACTGAAAGACGGAACTTTTCTTGGGTCACCCTTATATAATATAGTTCAACCATACTCGGTTCAACCAAGTCCGTTCATCAAAATTCTTGTTCGATCAGAACATCGACAAGCAAATGGAGGGTTTAATAAAACTAAACGATTAATTGCCGGCATTCATGTTCAAAGAAACGACGTTGATTATTTTAACACGCGGTACTAGAGGGCAAGAAAATTATTTAGCTATGTGCAAGTGGATCCTAAGTGATTCAAGCAATGGTTGACGAGCTACTGACACCAGAGTGAAGTTTGCTTGATTAAAGAAAAGAATTAGTTGGCAATCTAAACTGATAGTGAGCACCAACGACAGTCTGCGTTGCCATTTTCCAGTCGCAGCCCCGGAATTCTCGACGTTTTCTGCAAAGCAGCATCACTCTAGTAACATAAGGTGCTACTGGCGCTGAGACTTCACAGAGAATCCATGTCGATCCTCCTCCTGCAGGCCCAGTAAATCTAGAAGTAGTTGTGGTGGTAGTTTTTATGGAGAGCTCTTTAAAGAGCACTCCATAAAAACGTTATCTACCGGGAAATCTGAAGTCGTAGGCAGCAGGCAGTGCCTCAACATAGTCTCCTTATCTACCACAACATCGGGTGCAAACAGACATTCACCGCGCGAAATGTTGCTCATTTTTCATAGTTACAGTGTGAAATGTCCATAGTTAAATGTGAGGGAGCAATACTTGAGAAAACTCAAGAAAATGCTGCTCATCAAGAATATGTATCATTGTTTCTAATTGAAATTATTTTAGTGACAGTCTGTTTTCGTTTCCAGTAAGTCGGAGCATTGCGGAACTGGTCATATTACTTAAGTAGAAACAGAGCATAGTTGAAGTAGTGACCATCTTATTAAATCATATCCTGCTCAGTAGAAGAGGTCCTTATCGTGAGGCAGGTAGTTGTGCACGCCGTAAAGGCCAGCTCCGCCGTAGTAACCAGATCCGCCATAATAGTCAGCGTTGGCGTAGTAATCCGGCACGCTGTGCAGGGACGGAGATACGTAATGCACGTACTTCACGGCAGGGAGGATTGGGTCCGGGTAGAGCGTGTGACTCGTGTCGTAAGATTTAACTGCAACGGCTGGCTGGTAAGCCTTCAGCTTCTGGAACCCAAAACCAGGGATATGCTCGGCCTTTTGCACCACGTAGCCGGGATAGTGAGTGTGCGAACGCCTGTGCTGCGAAACTAGGATCGCTGGGTCAGCTTCGGCCTCGGCCGTGGCTTCGGCTTCGCACCGCACGGCAACGACTGCCAAACCGAACACAACAAACAGGGACACCTGAAAAATGAATTAACAATTATCAATAAACCAATTAATTTATGGTACAAGTTTAACAATTGTCAACAAGCCTACAAACTTATGGTCAGAATATACAAATCAGCAACAACCCAAGAAATTCAAGGTGTCAGTATGCGACTAATGACAAAATTTTTTGTTCGTTGCTAATGGTTACGTCAGCCTTATTTGGGTAAATTAAGACAAAAGGACAGAAAATTCACGTAATAATTGGATAGATTTTAGGTCGTCACTATGTGCACTGAACGATTAATGGCGGGTAAAGCGGCAGTGCGTGCGAGCTACATCACTCCGCAGTCCTGCAGTGCCCGCTGCCTCGAAGTGAGAGTCATAGGCTGACTTCTAATAGGCTATTTAACGTCTAAGATGGGCAAGTTTAGAGTAAAATATTCATTTTCCCGTTGATTTTCGACTATGCAAGAATTCGAAGGCTTTTCCTCTACCAACAGCTTAACAACACGTATGCAGATATATAATCAACAAATAAACAAATATTATACGGCACCGGAATTTGTGAACACCAAATTCCCAATCTACGTCACCGTTTTTCGCCGACACGACCCAATAAGACTCAAAAACTTTTGGACAAAAATTAACTTAGATGACTTAGATCTTTCAAGTCCTACATTTATGATGTATGGCAACACCATAATGAGCCGGTTACGATTTTCCAAAAAAAACACAACTTTAAAAATCTAATTTTATCGTTTTGAATTAAGCACTTAATATTTTTCAATTTAGACCAAAAAAATACCATCAGTCTGACTTTTTGAGATTTAACGGTACGGCAGTTGCTTATGAAAATTGAAGCCTACACAAATCTAATACTTATAATGTGTAAATTGAAAAAAAAAATCAGGCCAATAATTTTCAACACTCGCAAACCGAGTAACAAGAACAGACCTTGTACATGGCGGAGCTGAGGCGAGGATAAGCCGCTAGCCAGCAACAGCAGAGGTGAAGCGGGAGCGCATTATGGCGCGCCTTGTCCACCGACGCTCTTTTTAAGCAAAACAGCGGCGGCCATGAAGGAATTGTCCGTATCCTGCGTCCTATATCCTGCGTCAGTGCTCTGTATCTCCTCTCTTAGGACAATTATTGATCCAAATTACCTGTATACTTGAGTGCCTGTTACTGCGAGCAAGGTTGCTGTGGGGCGCTAGAGCATGGCTCATTTGTACGTAGTTGTAGCTGTAGCGTTACCAACCGCATGTCACGAGCTGCAGAAACTTGTTGTTTGTTTCTTGGTATGTATAACGATTGGTTTATTGGTATATATAACGGTTGGTAAACATAATGATGTTGGTATATCACGATATATATATCTAGCTGGTGATCTAGCGCTTCTGGAGATGAGAAATTGCAGACATCGGCGAATAGTGCACATCGAATTGCGCCTATTGTATTAATTTACTGATTAAAGAATACACGTACTTGAGAAATGCCCGTTCACACCATAACTTGTAAATAGAGTCATCACCGGTATTCAAGTCGGGAATACATTCCAATATCAGTTTATTTGAAATTTAAATTTCAGAAAATAGTACATCAAATTATATTCCGATTGTTCAATACGAAGCCCGCATATCGTTGTCACATCTTTCTTCTCCTAAAAAACATAATTTTAGGCCCTGCTAACATTCCGACACAACAGGCATTGCAGATGCACACAGTAACCTCTTACATATATACCATTCGAGGCAGTTGAAAATATTGAGATATTTTTAATAACATGCACGCAAACCTTTTAAATTACATAAATAGTTTATTTTGAGTGAATATTGAAAGTCCACTTTAACTTTTTACTCAAATCAACACTTGTCCGAAAAAACCTGGTGCTCTGGCACAATTTATCATTTTCACGAAGTTTTCGGTAGTTTTTTTGTATGAGTAATGAAGATAATGGTTAGTATATGCGCACTTCTATAAGTTTGCAACCGCCCGATCGAAATCACTCTTCAATTTTTTATTACAACACTTCTCTTTAACTTCACTTCTTGTTTGTCTGTCTGTCTGCTACAAATCTTATAATCAAAATTTAAAACGCTTCTACTTATCCTATTGATCAGAAACTTTCTACACTTGCGTAAAGTTGGAGACAATGCATGAATCAAATGGCAAAATAAAAGATTTTAACAATTGAAAAAAAAAATATTTTTCAATGTTAAAAAATTTAAAAAAATAATTTTGTCAGCTACAAATCTTATAACTGATATTTTATGCACTTTTACCTGTCCAATTGATCTGAAATTTTGCACACTTGTGTGAAGTCGGAGGCAATGCATGATTCAATTGACAGAATAAATAATTTTGAAAAAAAGTATAAAAAATTTTGAAAAATTAATTTTTTTAATATTCGAAAATGAAATGAGAAATTCATTGTACATCTGTAACATTGGAGGCACTGGATTCTTTAGAAGTGTTGTTTTTAAAAAGTAATTTTTAAGCGTATATTATTGTACAAAGCTTCAGGACAGTTACTTACAATTCTTGCCCTGCAGTTTCCGAGGTCTCTCCATAGGCCACTAGGCTCATGCATCAACTATTTATAACTTCATGAAGATTCATGAAGATCACTCAGCTGTAGTATCCGCGCTTGAAATTATGATAGGTTTTCATTCAACATGTTTTTATTTTTTATGTTGTTTAATTCATCTACGATTCTACGTCATGTGTTTCAGGTGAATTAATACCTTGAAATCTTCCTAGGTACTCTTGGTAATATTTTATAGTTTTCCTATTCCTATAAAGTAAATCTAGAAATATTTTGAATATCAGTAAATATCTTCTGGACGGCTGAATTTAATGATCGTGTCCGCTGCTCGCTGGGCGTGAGCGCAGTGCGCTCGGATTACATAGGAAGTTTTTGACGGTCCGACTCACCGGACCACAACTAGGATAAGGTGCGATGTAATAACGCGGAACCATTTCATCAATGTCACCACCGATACAACTGAGATGAAAACGCATTCGTAATTCCTATTTATATTCAGGCCCTATTGATATCAGCCCTCATGGCCTGTACTAACTGAATTCATCCGACCATATTAGCCACGATAGTTTTCATTTTTTCAAGTTACAATTCTTCCGATTAAACAGCCAAATTTGTTACTAGTCGTAATTACTATAATTCATACACGGCTACTGCAACTCTGACTTCCTCTCGCTTCGAAGGATGTGAGTTACAGAATGTTAACGGATATTTTGACACACAATTTACTACACCATTATTATCATAGAACATATCTCTGGACACGTATCTAAGTGCGGATATCAATGAGAAATTGCTGACCTTGCATAGAATTGCTCGATTTCAGATTGAAATGCAACCGTCACTAAACGTTAGACGTACGGTAGGTTTTGGGCAATTACTGGCCGACGTTGCTGCGTATTTTAAATACATTCATGAACATAGTAAGTGCAAAATAGTGCTTTAATTCTAACCTTATCAATTTTTTCTTTTTAACAAATAAATTTAGTCACTTTGTTTTTCATCATTAAATTCAAATGGATGTAATAATATTGACGTACGGCACAGCTGCGAGCTACAATTGACGCATCAGCCTCTAAATAAAGAAAAGTTATGGAATTACGGCTCAATGCTCATCAATATCACCTCTTTTAAAAAATAAACTTCGTAACAATTACAAACACAAAGTTCCTAGATTTTTGTAATATTTTTCATGTAACAAATACGATACGTTATGCCATCCTCTAATAACAAGCAAGCCCAATTTCGTCTGTACTTATTTGTTATCACTGTTAAATAAGCCTAAAATTTATGGTAATTAAGTTGAAATATTGTATTTATTCAGCGCAATATACCATTTTGATACACACTGATAATGTATAAGCAACTTTTTTAACTTCAAGGCATTTTTAACTTCAACCATTGATGCACGTGCACATATGCGCCGCTGAAGCTCTAGGCTCGTAATTTTGATTTTCTCGATCGGAAGCCTTTATTTTATTTCGGAAAAATATGCATTTTTCCCAGATCTGAGGTCCGTTAATGTATCGACCAAAGATGAAACGCAAAAACTTTCCGCAAGCTCAGCACTTGTGGACAACATATTCTCGATTATAATAACTGTCTGAAAAATATATAGATCAAGAAAGAAGTCAGTAATGCCTTGCTTGAGCTGTCACAAGCTGTCACTTTCTTGATTGGGAGTTAAATTTCAACCCTCGAACCTCTTATACCAAGCGTGGCGAATGAAATGTCATACCTCACCCCACACGTATCCACCTCACACCACACGTATCCACCTCACCCCACACGTATCCACCTCACCACACACGTATCCACCTCACACCACACGTATCCACCAACGTATCCACCTCACCCCACACGTATCCACCTCACCCCACACGTATCCACCTCACCCCACACGTATCCACCTCACCCCACACGTATCCACCTCACTCCACACGCATCCACCTCACCCCACACGTATCCATCTCTAAGATATGTATTCCTTTCATCCGAGATATCTTTCTTAGTTTGCGCTCCCACACAAAAACAAGATTAAGAAGGTAACCGCTCTTTGTTCCCTAAGCCTGGCACGGCGAAGCTATAAAATTTGAAACTCGGATTTTTTTTGTGAAGATTTTTTTTTAAGCAGAATCATTTCTCCTTCCAAAGCGCACGAGCGAACTTATCAAATTGTAACCTTGTCACGTGAAGACCTTTTCTTTGTCTAATTCGTCAAGGTCGAACAAATTGTTTCTTTTGGCCAGAAAGCTTCTTTGTCTAATTCGTCATGGAAGCCTTTAACTTCTGTGGCAAAATGAGCAGGTGCGCTGACGCAAAAAAGTTGACACCAGTGAAAAGTTGAGTTGTTGCTCGGATGTTATTTGCTCACACTTCTGTGTGTCACCTAAAATTTATTCTAATGAACTCTTATTTGATTTTCATATAAAAATTTATATTCCAAAACACTCTTCGAAACCTTTACAACTTAAAGCTTGCGCTTTATGACCTTCTAATTTAGCCACATCTCTGTGCGATTACTTAAGCATGTCCTGGTGAACCGTACATGTGATGAGGACGGTACTGCGCCCTGGAGGCGGTAAGAATACATATAATTTTCCTCATGAATGTATATACAAAGAAAGAATTTGAATATAGAGTCATTAATTTTGTATGTATTTCCTAATTAAGAAGAAAATTAAAATGTTTCCTCTACCTAAACTTATTGGGAAAAACATATTTTTTGAAACACGGACCAAAAACATAACTACTAAAAATACAACGCGGAGCTTTTGCTATTGTTTTTAACATAATATAATAAATACCAAGGAAACTCCCTCCACAATATATAGACACAGTTGGCATCGAGATATCGGTGTTCGGTCGTCACACCGAAAAAATAATTAACTAATTTTTACGAGGCTGTTATCTGACTTAGATAAGCAGAGGTATTACAGAAGCCTGCTTCTGGATGATTCAGTACTGAATGTAAGCATGGATGATTTTTAGATGAGATTTTGGACGATTCAGAACTGAATAATAAGCATGTTTAGGATGTGAACGCATAAATATGAGTTTATGTTACAAACAAGATATGTTCTCCTAACTGGAGTCTGAAAAATGTATGCACTGTTCAATGGTTTATTACTCACATAGATAAATAGACATGTAAGCCTTAAACGTAGTAAAAATTATTATTTTGTTCAAGCCCTAAAAAGTAATGAATTTTCTGAGAAATTCCAAGGGACGGTCGGCATGTAATTTAGCCTTAACAATGTACCGGGAGTTTTTTTCTCTATACAAGATAAGATCTCGGCTGTATTTTCATTGTCCCCTGTCGTTTACAATAAGCCGAATTGATGATGCCCGGGTGTCAGCTCGGCTATATAAGCCGCGCCCTGGCTGCCCCTGCTCATTACTGTGGAGGCCTTGACCGATGTAGTCGTGTTGAACTTACCGCTCGTGATTCTCAGGTGTTGAAGAGCCATTCGAGGAAGACTTTCCGTAGTGTTGTCGATCACATCTAAAAGAAAACGTTGTCCTACGATTTACACCGAAGAGTAAAGGTAAGTGTCTTTACTAGATTTATATTATCTGCATTTATTTTAAGTAAAATTTGCTTCACGAGGTTTGAGTGGTAATCACTCAGACAAAATTGCCTGCCAGAGTTACAATAAATTTATTTGGTTTGTAAGATGGATGACATGGAGTTACTTCAGTTCATTTGGGTTATTTTTATTTCATATTATATCTTTGTGGCAGTGATTGTCATTAATTAATCAAATGTTGTTCATGATATTATAGTTTTAAAATTTTAATTTAGTTTATAAACCTCAAATGACTCGTGTCTCCACAGAACTTTTCCAATTAATGAGAAATGCAATATATTCATATCGCCTTCTCCTGAGTTATTTTTCAAGAAATTTATGTCGTAGTGGGTTTTGTAAGTGTGCTTTAGCCCGCTGGGCTGATATATTTCGCGGGTATTCCAGGAAAGTGAAAGATGGCCGTGTTTGGTACGTGCTTGGCGCGTTAGTCTTGCCGTAAATAAAGTGTAGGTAACTGTGCAGTAAATTTTTAAGCAGTGTAAATACTTACAGGATAGTTGAACATTTTCTTTCCCTACTGCTTGAATTTTTACTGATTATTTCCAGCCTCATCCAGATCTCCAGCTGAAATCTAGCGATAACTTTATTGAAATATCGTCTAAAATTGAACCTATTTGAATTAAGAATTGTTAGTTAAGGATAGACTTCTAGTTAGCTCATCATTCGGCATCGATGTTGAGGCCTTCATAGTCATATCGATTGTGTTTATAGCAATTCTTTGTTAAATTAGTGATGCAATCATTGATTAATTTATTTCCATTTTTAAGGTTGAGAGCGGTTATTTCTATTTAATTTATACTATTTTATCCTCCAATCCTGAAATTTCTTCTGTAACAATATTGTGTAATTCCAGTAAAATATAAAGTGATTTGTTGCATTAAAAAAAATATCCAAAACTGATCTTAACCTCACTTTTTCAGATCCAAACTGATCGATTGTATACTCTAATATTTTCTGCAATATTAATTTTCACCCCGTATTTTTCCAGAAACCTGTACCAGTTGAAAATGTCCCGGATTACGAAAATGAAGTACGTTGCTGCAGAGACCAAGATGGACTACGAGCTGCCGTCTCCAGGACAGACCATCTGCACCATCATCAAGGTGCTGGGCAACAGCACATACCTGGTGAGATGGCAGCCATTTTATGTCTTTCATTCAGAGCTCATATTAAATAAGTGGATTGATGTGTTATATACTTCTATATATATGGTGTCTTTCATTCAAAGCTCATAGTAAAGAAGTGGATTGATGTGTTATATACTTTTATATACGTTGTGTCTTTCATTCGAGCTCATATTAAAGAAGTGGATTGATGTGTTATATACTTCTATATACGTTGAATTTCTCTGGAGGACTGTAGTAATGTATGTAAAGTGTTTTATTTACCACATTGAGTATGGTGGAATGAATTTAATGTCGTTTTTTATCTGATGTAAAGTGATAAGCTTGTTCCATTGTTTAGGCCAAGTTGTGCGTAGGTTTGTAGTCTGAAAGTGAGATGCTGAAAACATGAGTTTTCCGTATATAATTCGGACAATATACATATTACAGTTTTATACGTTACATAATAGTTTTATACGTTTTCCGGCTGTCTTCATGAGCATTACTCCTCTAGAAGGTGATATGTCATGGCTCACATGCATAGTTCTGATTACTTTTAACCTAATTTATTTGACAATTTTTATATTCCAGACTTTGTTTGATTTATGCGCGTAGAACTCGTTGGTAATTAATTTATTTTTATTTCCAGGTGGGTGCTCCTGATGGAGAACAATTCATAGCTTCAATGCCCGCCAAATTCCGCCGCCATGTTTACGTGAGACGACGCGGCTTCGTCGTGACTGAACCCATCGTGGAGGGGAAGAAGGTCAAGGCAGAGATTGTGCGCATCCTTCAACGCAATCAAATCAAACATTTCTATCAAGTCGGGGTCTGGCCCGAGGCCTTCAAGTCCACAGTCTACATCGACAACTCTTTTGCTGCGCAGAAGAAGAGGTATCGACTCACGAACGAAAGCGACCGAGGTGTTGTGCACGGTGAAAAATACTTCTTTATGGATGGCGACGACTGCCGGCCGGTGATGAAGAATAAGAACCGAGATTTTATTGATGGCGTGACCTCATCATTTGATGAGTTAAGGCTTGACGTTGACCCCCACATTGAACCCAACTATAATAAAAAGGCCGTCACTTATGTGATCACTTCGGAAGTAGGTGATAATGGCGACGAAGAAAACGGATTTATTGAAGAGACCAATAATGAAGAAAACAGTGATGATGAAGAAAACAGCGATGATGAAGAAAACAGCGACGATGAAGAAAACAGTGACGAGGAAGAAAACAGCGACAATGAAGAAAACGGTGATGATGAAGAAAACAGCGATGATGAAGAAAACAGCGACGATGAAGAAAACGAAGACGATACAAGAGAAAAATACTCAAATATAAATGCTTCCTATTCCACGAACGTTAATACATTAATAGTTTTAGAGGCGAGTTCTAGGCGAGCCCAGGGCCGCCGCGCAGGAGGCGCAGCCTTCAGCTTAAGATCCTTCCGTCAGAGATATTGAGTCCTGCGTCTAGTGAACACATCAGGGGCTACTTAAAAACTCAGTCGTGTATTGTATGATATTTCAATGTTAGAATATTTTTAGTTCGCCAAGTAGATAATGTTTCATTTCAAGGATCATTTGCTCTGATTATTTTTGTCGTCAGCATCGACTAGGGCGTCATCCCTGCCTTTACTTATAATCAATCTTTTCTTAGGATTAGTGTTCTTCGTTTATTGAAATTTCGCTGGGGATTATTCAGATTTCAGAACGCACACTTTTATAATTGTTCGAATATAAATATTATGATTCTGATATTCGGTCAAGTTCATCTTTCACTTGACAGTCGCCTATTGGTTTGTACGATGACATCGGATGATTAAATAAAAAATATAACGAAAAACAATCTTTCTCTTTTTTCCACTTAAGCTATAAGTTGCATCGTTTCATCAAACTTAACGTACTATTTGTCCAACTTTTATTGCTTCTATCATCAAACCGTTGTTATTGTCAAATTTATTTATGCTATAAATGAGGCGTCTGAAAGAAGATAACTTTCTTTGATTCAAAACTTCAACAAATTGCACTTGCTTTCAATAATGTTGGCTGCTGGATTGTGGCTTCCAAAAGACAGGCTACAGCTATGTTGGTCACTAGAATGTTGTAGGGTAAACGACTCAAAACCAACGCATCCAATGAAATATATTATTCCATAACCGTTCAATTTCCACGCGTAAGTTCTTTTGACTTGAAATAGGCAGTATTAAACACTCTGTATACAGAATTAAGTACCAGAGTTGTGAATAATAATTCTGCCCAACACGATCGTGAGGAAGTGTTCATAGAAATTTGTTCGAAAACAGTTTTGGATAGGAAATTTGATTAGGAAAAAATGAAACTTCCTGAAAACTTACAGTATATTCAAGTGGAGATATGGTTAATTACATTAATTTACAGTTTACAGTGTGTATACAGCAATATTATTCGCGAATAGTACGTTTTAAATTTGTTTGAATACTCGGTTAGTGACAAATTGGAGAGAAATGGAAAGGGAAGCCGCGACGTGAGAGGCAAATAACGCGAGCTGCATGTTATTAATTTTTGTATCGAACAGAGATTTTTAAGCTCGTAATTCAAGCTTATCTCTAAAGATTAACTCACTTAACTAACTCAGCAATCACACAAATTTCATTATTTTACATGAAGAGTGTCCCGATTTAAATTAAATGCTTTCATAACCATCACTTTTCCTAAAAAAGAAACTTCATAACAATTACAAATACAAAGTCAATAGATTTTTGTAATGTTTTTCGTGGAATAACGTGAATGTACCAAGTACAATACGTAATACCGTCCTCTAATACTAAGCAAGCCAAGTTTCGTCTGTACTTATTTGTTGTCACTGTTAAATAAGCCAAAAACTTATGGTAATTAAATTGACATTTTGTATTTATTCATTGTAATAGACCATTCCGATACACACTGAGGATGTATGAGTAATATTTTTACCTTCTAGGCGACACCATTGATGCATGTGCACGTGAAGCTCGATCTAGGTCTAAGCTCATAATTTTGATTTTCTCGATCGGAGGCCTTTAATTTATTTCGGAAAAATATACGTTTTCCCAGATCTGAGATCTGATAATGCATCAACCAGAGATGTATCGCAAAAAGTTTCTGCAAGCTCAACACTTGTGGACAACATATTCTCGATTATAATGATATACGTTTAAAAATTACTTTTTAAAGACAACACTTTTAAAGAATCAAGTGTCTCCAATGTTACAGATGTACAATGAATTTCTCATTTTATTTTCGAATATTAAAAAATTAATTTTTCACTTCTTTTAATATATAATTTATTCAAAATTATTTATTCTGACAATTGATTTATGCATTGCCTCCAACTTCACACAAGTGTGCAAAATTTCTGATCAATTGGACAGTTAGAAGTGTGTCAAATATCAATTATAAGATTTGTAGCTGACAAAATTATTTATTCAGTTTTTTTAATATTGAAAAAAAATTATTTTAAAATTATTTATTTTGTCATTTGATTCATGCATTGTCTCCAACTTTACGCAAGTGTGTAAAACTTCAGATCGATAGGATAAGTAGAAGTGTGTTAAAGTTCGATTATATGATTTGTTGCAGACAGACGGACAAACAGACCGACAGACAAACAAGAAGTGAAGTCAAAGAGAAGTGTTGTAAAAACTGGCATTGAACTCGATCGTGTCCATTTGCGGATGTGAACCAATCAACATAAGCCTAATTGACGTATTTTCTAGTTAAAATTGAATTTTACGAGGCAAACCTGTTGTTATTAATCCAGAATATGATCGCCAGTTTCTGGCACAAAAAATATACCGTTATGTGTTTCGTATGTGCATAATTTGTCACAAATTTTCATAAAACATCGAACGAGTGTAAATGCATTGACTAAACCTTCATTACTGCATTTCTTCTAACAATAATTAATGCTCTGTGAGTCCGACTGAGGATAGTTTAATTCTCAGCTCGGATTTTTTTTGTAGAAGGCCGTAGACTGATTTTCGGATAGATAAAACATAGAATAAATTTTCATCTAAATGCATTACCTAAATATTGATCGAAAAGAGGGCCCAATAGTTACCACGTTGACTAAAATGATTGGATGTGCTATACTGATTTTTAAAATGTGTTCTAAATTCATGTAAAGAAAAGAGCACTTTTTGCCCTCATGTGATGGTGCTCTCAATTTTATGGTGACTTCGAATTTTAATTCCGCACCAAAGGATGGGCAACTCAGACGTCGTCCACCGCATGTAGATTGGATCTCTATAAATAAAATTAGCGGAGCCTCACATACACAACATACATACGACATTCACCAGATGCAAACGATCAGCCACATGCAGGCTACATCAATCACACAGGTCATTTTTTCGTCACAAGAAAACGATTATTTTTCCGCCACATGCGATCGATCACCTGTTCGCCACATGCAACCGATCATTTATTCGCCACATGCACACGATTAATTATTCGCCATACACATACGATTAGTTATTCGTCACGGGCAAGCGATCACTTATTCGCCACGTGTGAGCAATCACCTATCCGCCACATGCACACGATTAATTATTCGCCATACACATATGATCAATTATTCGCCACGTGCGAGTGCTCACTTATTCGCCACGTGCACATGCATGGTTGAATTAATACAAGGTTGAAACACGGCGACGACGATTTTTTCGCCGTTCTGCGCATGTCTCGTGTGACGTCACAGTGGGCCCAAAATGTAAACAGTGGAGATCAAGTGATCAACACGTTGTTTTTGTGTCACTATGAAAACCTTTTAAAAAATTTGACCTCCTCAAAATAGCCCAAAAAACTGTATTTGCTGTAACAAGTGTTATTTTAAGCAAAGCCGGTGTTACAGATCCGTTTCGTGGAGTGTAAATTAAAGAAATGGGAAACATGATGGGCCGACAGACAAGGACGGAAAGGGGTAATGGCTGCCACTCAGCTAACAGTCGATGAAAGGAAGTGCAATTCTAACAAATTTTCATTTTCGTAAGTTAACCAAGAATATCCTTTGCTATAAATTTTTTTAATTTTGTGATTTGTTTCATGGCTTACTTGTCATGTTGTTCTGAAAATTCTATCACCGACTCTCAATATTGTTGTATGAGTAATGCCTCTCTAAATGGTATGAGCATTTGTAAACATTACATACTCAGGATACTCTACGTCTACCTATCTACTGAGCTGAAACTCTCGGAAAAAAAAAGTTTTGACCATGTTCGTGCTGACCATATCAAATATGTTTCATCCTGAATGACGCTGAATTATAATATGGGCTGATAGCTACTGCCACTGGGTCTAGGCCACCCAAAATTCCTAAATGACTAAATCTAATGCAAGGTTACGACTGAGAGTTCTAAAATCTCAATAGAATTTTCCTTAAAGAAATGGTAAGTAAGAGATAAATCAAAGAAAAAATATTAACAAGAATAATAACAGAGATGCAAGAATATACGGCATTACCTAAATAAATAAATTCGTTAGAATTTCCCCTCCATTTCTTCGACCGTCACAAGAAAGATGCACTACAAGGCGGAACTTTTCGTGGGTCAACCTTATATAGTTCAACCATGCTAGTATTAGTGAGTATCAAAATTTGTTAGAAACAAGAAAATAGCTAAATATTTTTAATCATAAAGTGTTAGACAATAATTTACTATTGACGTGTCAAGTGTTCATGGAATAAAATCACGCAGAAAAACAGCGAATAACATCACCATTGCCTGCCTATTATTTGTTAGCGTGAATTTTTACGGGAAAATTATAGCAGAAGTATTTCCGTTCTTTTGATTTTGCCGCTGTTAAAATGCATTTTTTCGAACGATATTGCCAATCATTGTTCTTTAAAATTGAGTCCCAGCAATCATTAAACTCGAATCAACGTCATTAAAGACATTACGACGTAATCAACCAGCAATCGATGTTACAGCGTTAGTGGCGCGGTGGAGAGGATCTGCCTAACTGAAGCGCTCCTCTGGTACAGACTACAGACCGAGGAAGAATTTGGTAAAGAAGAAAAAACTATAATATAGATAATATATATAATATATATAGATAATTTATATATAATATATATAAAACATTGGGGGTCTCAAATTAACGAATTTAGCAAGGCAACTTTGATACTGGTGACATTTTACTTGCTATTTTTAGTTTAGAATAATAAACTGATAAAATATGAGCCATTAAAATATAAGTTTTAAAAATTAATTTTTAAAGACTACACTTCTAAAAAATCCAGTGTCTCCAATGTAAAACGTGTACAATTAATTTCTAATTTTAATTTCGAATATTAAAAAAATTATTTTTTTTTAATTATTTTAAGACAAAAAAGAAATTAAATTTTCAAAATTATTTATTCTGTCAATTGATTCATGCATTGTCTCCGACTTTACGCAAGTCTGCAAAATTTCAGATATATTGGACAGCTAGAAGTGTGTTAAATATTGATTATAAGATTTGTAGCAGACAAAATTATTTTTTCAGTTTCTTTTTAATACAGAAAAAAAATATTTTTAAAATTATTTATTTTGTCATTTGATTCATGCGTTGTCTCCAACTTTACGCAAGTGTGCAAAATTTCAGATCGATAGGATAAGTAGAAGTGTGTTAAATTTCTATTATAAGATTTGTAGCAGACAGACAGACAAACAAAAAGTGAAGTTAAAGAGAAGCGTTGTAAAAATATTGAATTTATTCAGCGTAATATACCATTCCGATACACAATGATGATGTATAAGCAATATTTTTACCTTCAAGGCGACACCATTGATGCATGTGCACAGATGCGACGCTGAAGCTCTA